GGACAGGTCGCGAATGTGGATTTGAAGACAAAGACTCACGACTCGACCCCAACCCGTGGATGTTGCATGATGGTAGCTTCATGTCTTCCTCAATTTCTTGGTGAAACCCGCCGAAAGAACCTTGAAGCAAGCAGGTCAAGCATATATAGTTCTATGCTGGTCATCCAGCTTTAGGAGCGCACCCAAGGGCCCCAGGTCTCCGCCTTCCCGAAGCTATTTGTCTGACTGGTGAAAAAGACACATCCTCTACATCCAATTTGGAATGAAGTCATCCAGATCGCCTTCCTTTCGACCATTCAATTAAATGTTGGCCTGCTGTTGTAGTCAATGAAGTTTCTTGGGTAAAAATAGTTATAATGTATAACAAATGGTGGATCCAATCCTAGGCTGCTGTGACAAACAGGACTGCCTCAAGCATAGCACTTCTGTAGATATCGTAGTCAAAAAGAGACTGAAGCCACAACTACCACATACTGTCGTGGAAGGTGGGCGGAAGCTGCAGCTGATTGATGCTTCTCTGTTGTAAAAATCATGGAACTGGGACAATTTAGACCCCCAAATAGATAGACACGTAGATCCCCACTAAAAATGTATTGGAAATCGTTTCTATCTATTTGGGGACCACTTATATAAAATGGATTGGACTAAAAATCAAGGGTCTTCAAATCCGTCTGTCACTGTCAGTCGAATCATGTTGGTCAAATAAATGCCAAGCTGCTTCGCAATGATCATGAAGATGCCTTCTACGGATTCCTGAGCGTTTAAACGGGTGCTTCCTCATGCAGTCTTGCATGTCCACTCATCGAACTACAAAGTCCCTTGCTGGTTAGTCCCTTTGGAATGGATCATTGCATGTCTATACTCGTGTCTATAATGTCTATACTCATTGCATGTCTATACAAAGTCTTAAACATAGACTGTGTTTCTCCATGTTTCTCCGCATGTTTCCCCCTGCTTTTGAACTAACAGGAAAAACATGTCTGACGATGACATGAAGAAACAACAGGTCCGTTGGCATTCGGAAGCAGCACGTGACAGTCTTTTGAATCCAGATTCCTGGAGGATTGAAAGGAATGCTCATCAAAGGGTCAGCATCTGCAGGTCCCAGGCAGGCGAGAGACAAATGGTCTTCTTTTTGATCATGGCTGGTGCAACAAGCATATTCTTTCTACGAGATGTAATCTGCTAGTCGTCTCCAAGTCGGGCCGTCGTGTACACATGGGGTCACATGTGTCGCATCCAAACATCGGGTCTGACATCATCACCTCAAGCTGTTCTCCACGGACGTAACAAGAAGCCTTCGGCTCTCCTGGCCTTACGACGAACGGAGCGTTCGGACGCTACGTTCGCGGGGCTCCTGACATCGCTACGAACGGAGTATGTTTACTACTAGTAACAGGCATACTCAGGTTTTTCTGGGCCCATCTGAGCCACTTTCAGCGGGATGACCTCATCTTCCAGATCTTCCCCCCCTCTGAGCCTGATGCTGCAGGCCCGATCGGCCCAGGCGTCATTCGACTCTCGGTCCAAATCACTGCACAACAAAGTGGGCACCCCAAGCACATAGGGTAGGAGCTGTTGGGTAGAGAGGACCAGCATTGAAGAACATGTCCATCAGGTCCATCCCAACAACTTGATTAACCATCCTGGGCGATGTAAGTGGAGCCCCTTGCTCTGCAGTTATCTGTCCACTCACCGTTCACTCAATGATCCCCTAAACTGGTCAATCCTGGTCAATAGACCATCTCTGATGGGCAAACTGTCCCACCCAAAATGCCCTTCCCCCCAAAACCAATGACTTGGCCGTCGCCAGGTGACCAGAACCGCGGCGATGACCGTGAGCAAGGCCGCGATCAGCAGCCAAGGACTGCAGCTACAAAGACCTCAGCCATCAGCGAGCCAACCTTTTCTGACTGGTGCGACTCGTAGGGAATAAGGGTGGCTGGATCCAATCTCTATTGGGGGCTCATTCCCTCATTCCCTACTTTCGTCGCACCAATCAGTTTTGAGAGAATGGCTGAACCACCCCAGACTCGACGTAGGACATGAACTTGGTCCAGCCAGCCAATTATAGGACGTAAGACGTAAGTAAGGATTGCAATGATTCCAGCTGGGAAGCTTTTGGAATATCATGGGATATGCAGCAAGACCCCCTTACACCATGTTGGCCATTGTATAAGCAATACCTGGGATGTGCTAAGAGGATCTAAGAGGGGTGCATGGACCAAATCCTGGAAAAAAGTTTGTGCAGCTGCAAATTACTACTGCGCACACCCTCCCCCCTATGACCCGCCCCTGGCTTCTTCCGGATAAACAACCATGGCACTCCACTCATCACAAACAAAAACTCCCGCTACTGTTGCAAAGGTTATCAATCATTACAAGAACATACTTCAACGCTCTCCTCACCGAAGGTCCCTCTCGTCACTCGCGTGACCTTTCCCGACCGTGCGCGTCACTCTCTCGAACCGAGGTGCCAAAGACCGCCAGGTGCAACGCTTGGGTCAGCTCCGTCCACAAATGCGCTGGGCTCCCCAAGAGTCGCTGGGCGCCCACAAACTGCCTCAGCGGACCACGCGGCACGGAGCGAACAGGATCGGTGGAGGTCGGGAGGGGCGGAGTGAGAGAACACCAACTGGAGGTGAAGGAGTTGGCCCGAAACAGCTGGCAAACATGGAGAACCAAGACAGGTTGAACAGCCCCTTTTCGCCCATCCCATATGTACCACTACAGGGTCCTATATGCTCAACCTCTCTTGGAAAGCTTCAACTGTTTCAACTTCTTTGTTCAACTCGCTGAAAAAAGGAGCGTCCTTGGACCAAAAACCGCCCAAAATCCACCCGTGTTCTTCGTCTCATTAGGCACGGAACATCCATCCTAATGTTCTTGTGTCGACCGTGAAACCCTACGGATCCAAGAAGGTGATTGGAGACTGTTTATGTAGGTGCCAGGAGGGTCCAAGTACCTTCCAAGGACGTACTTGGATGCCTAGGGAAAGTGGTTCCTGTTCATAATATGAAAGCGTTGTGGGTCATGGCAGGAAGGTCGTACCGGTCGTGTCGTTCGCTTAAAAATTGGTGGACTGGTGGAAGGCGAACATGGTACCCATCCGTGTGGATCACAGACCATCGATGTATAGTTACATACATTTTGCTCCATTTAAGACCCTAATGATCCCTAATGTAAGCAACTATTCCATACATGTAGTGTCTAGGGATGGATGATGGTTTATGTTGGTTCATGCTACACTTAGAGAGGAAACAAGGATGAGCATCTGACAGATACTATATGCATTGCATCAAACATGTACCATGCCCTTGAAGGCCTTGCTCATCTGAATGACATCTTAAAAACGGTCGGGCCGATAGTTTTTTTGCTGTTTAATCCACCCCCAGTCTAGCGAGTTTAGCTGCACCTTCCAAGAATTATCCTGTCATCATCAGTATACTGTGGTACCTTCCAGCCAGTGGACCCCTTTACTGTACGTCACAGCTACGGTATACCCCTCCACCGGCCTGGAAAAACACGCCCCCTCAACGCCCCCCCCCAACGCCTGCCGTCCCAACCGCGTGGGCCCCGTGCGGCCGAAGCCACGGGATTTGCCGGAGCACCGCATCACCGGCCGCACTGCTGGCCTCACTGAAGAGCTCGTGAAAGCCGTGGGGCAGAAACTCGTCCGCCAGAAGGGCCTGGTGAGGTCGGTGAATGTCTGGTAGGTCGGTCGGTCCGGGAGGTTCTCTGGGGAATGGAACCGTCTTTTCAGAGGGCGGGAGGGCGGAGGGCGGTGGGTTTTGATGGAGAAGACCTGGCGAAGTGCTGAACTCTTATTATATAATATGTAAAAGCTATGTTAAAAAAGAAAACGTTGTTGTATAGGCATTAAAAATATATATATATATATAATATACTATAATATACAAATAGAGTACGTTTGGTTCTTTTGGTTCATCATGTTGATTTCATCTTTTGGGGGTGTTCCACATCTGGAGGACGGCTTTTTGGGGGCTCCGCATGGGCAAAGCCGGGCTTTGCCCATCACAAAGCATCCATGGCATGGTGACTCATCAGCATGCGGTTCGTCGTTGAGTCGGACATGAGATGAATGATGAAGGGATCAGTTGCTCACCAAATCCGGGTTCGGTCAACTCCAGTCGTACCTTCTGAGAAGGTGGGACTGGTGTGGGTTCTCCTTGGAGCCCTAGGATTGATGAGATTGAGGGGGTGAGACACGAACGCTACTAGGGGCTCCTGGCCTTACTACTAGGAGCAAAGAAGCTACTAGGGGCTCCTGGCATCGCTACTAGGAGCAAGGACGCTACTTGGAAGCGGCCACCATTTGGCCTACTCAGGCAAACGACCCAGCCTAAAATCGAGGTCATGATGCTGAAGCTTGTTGAACCCTACTTGCTGCCCTTGTCAGGAAACAGGAAACCAAATCCACCCCAAAAGCCGGACCTCGTGTGATAAAGAAGATGAACCACGGCCCTTTAGAGTCACTAAAAGTCCCTAGAACCACAAGTTCTTTTTTGGGTGTCTCAGGTGATCTCAGGTGTGTCTCTTAATGACCAATTGGACCTTGAGGATCCTTGAGGGGTCTCTACCCTGACCACTGCTCGTGGGTGGCACAACACCCTTGGCCCTTAATCGAACAAGGGACTCCGACCTTCTTTTGGGGAATAATAGAGCTATGTGTCAACTTGCAAGAAAAAGGAACAATTGCTTCTACACGATCAAAGGGGTGTCTCCCCTCTTTCATCAATTCAGGGCCTGCTCCCGCTTCCCCGGTTCGATCCTGCACAAGAGGACACCTGTCTTCCGGTCAGGGCCATGCTTCCACTTCCATGATTGGAGGGGAGGGTAGGTGGTAAGTATGAAAACATCTGAACACCTAGATCGTAAAGGGTTATAATGCATCTCTGGAACCACCTTGAAACCTGCGACAGAGCTTTTTCTCCAGTGTGTGGCGTCTTTTTCCCCAACCGAGCGACATCGCTCTGCTGCTCCCCCAAGAGGAGCATGCGGAAGAGCCTCGCAACGGGAGCGTGGTGGGTCTGGCCGCTTTCGGGCGGAGAGTGCGGTCTGGCGACCTCTGAGAAAGCACGAAACAAGACCAAAAAACGCGGCACATTTCTGGAGACCATTGCACCTTCAATGACTTTCGGAAGCACTTGGACTTTGTAATGTTTCTTGGGTTCTTGAGACTTCACAGGCTTGGTCTCTATCTTGTTGAAGGGCATGGTCTAAGGGCGAGAAAGCAGGTATGAAGCGCGTCAATCAAATCCAAAAAAACACAAGCATGTGTCGGGCAAAATAACACATACAAGACTCAAGACGCACTGTAAATATGTGTTGGCTGCAAAGAGTGTGTGTGGGTGCGTGGGTGGGCGTGTGGGTGGGTGGGTGGGTGGGCGGGTGGGAATGAAGGCACCATCAAGAACAATCATACAGGGCACAAAGCATACTCATGACAACCATCGCCCATGTCTTTACCAAACTCGAGTTGAGTGTGTTGGTGCAAGATCACTTCACCTATCTTGAAATTCGGAAGTTCGTTGAGGCTCGACATCGTCGGGCATTTGAGCCAATTCACTATACAGCCTTTTGAATCCTTGACATCTCCTGGGGGGTTCTTCCCACTTTGAAACCACCCCAACCAAAACCTGCAGGAACATGCAGGAACCAACAGAACTCGACCACCGCCCACCTGCCCTTCACTGGCCGACCATCTCGTTTCCCTGACCCCCGAACACCTGCAGCCCTTTGGTGCAGGTGCCCCGGGCCGGCGCCGGAAGAACCTGGGCAGTGGGTTTGAAGAAGTAGAAAGTGGGCAGTGGGTGGTGTGTATGAAAATCGGACATCACCGGTTTTTCATGGTGTGGAATGGATATATGTTGCAGTCTAAACATGGGTGTGTAGCTCAAGGTAGGGAGATCTCCCAGTGCGACCTCGAATAAACCACAACCACTGCCACAACCATACCACAACCGATTATATGGATTCAAATGAAGCTATAATATGAAGCTATAAGATACACTATTCAGATACACATCCCTATAAAATAAACATACCTCTTCCTATTAGAAATCCCTAAATCCCTATACACATCCGACTTACAACCGAATGTGTTCCCAACCATGTCGACTCAAAGTTTGTCAAAAGTGGATAGCAAAAAAGAAAACAACTATATGAATGCACCTGCCGAACCCGGTCGGTCCGGTGAGGACGGAGACTATTGTAAGCTCGGAGGGCCCAGTTACTCAGAAGGTATGTGGATCCATAGGAAAACGGTGGTCCCACCGTGGACGATGGGGACTTCGATGTCGGAGAGTTTCCCGTCACCGCAACGCTTCGTCTCATCTCCGTCCTCCGTTCTTGGGGATGGCGCAGGTTGAACCATGTGCAAACAACCTTCCGCATTTCACCACGCTCCATCTATGGCATACATGGAGCGTCTGGGCATGCTGGTGGGTGCAAATACATACGTTAAACTGCTTGACCCGTCCGTCACATACGACTGTTCGCCCGTTCGCATGATCGACCAGCACCACAGAGGGGAGTGTCTTCCAATGATTGTTTGATTCTGTGAATCCCAAAAACCGCAGCAAGCCCCCAAGCAAGAACGGACTCCCTTTTCAGCGGACACGTAACCCCCATTTGGAGTACAGGTTCCTAGCTTGGTCTTGGGTCGAGCGATGCCGGTGGTATTCCAATTTCACACCGGCACAACTTCTAGCGGCAAAGCGAGACGATCAAGACATCGTGTTCTGTACATTGTCTTTCATGACCGTCTTCTGAGAGTGACCACATGCCGGTGTTGCAAATCATTCGGAGGAAGTCGGAACACATACGCTTAGTAAGAGGGTCGGCAACCATGTTGTCTCCGGCTACCCACCTCAGTGTCCCGCCAGACCGGCAGAGATCATCCTTGAGGATGGCCACGTCGATTGCTGTTCGTTTGTCTTCCACTTGGGCATAGGTGCAAACCAGCTTGTTGATGCAATCGTAGAGTGAACGGGAATCAACCACGGACACGTATGGGATGGATGCCAAGTGTCTTTCCCAATCTGTTGTGGAGATTGGGGCTCCCATGAGTTCCAGCAGTAAATAACGGTGCCAATGGATTTGTCCGATTCCTTGTATCAGTGCCTGGCATTCAGCACTGAGGGTGTTCACTGTCTTTCTTTTCAACCTTGAGGATTTCCATGAGGTCACTGAGACCATGTGTGGTTGGCTCTCACTTTCCATGCGCTTGTCGTAGAACATGAGGACATAGCCACCTTGGCTGCTGCAGTTCAACAGCTTGAGGAAGCAGTCACTGATGTTGGAGTGTTCCAACTCATGGCCTGGAAGCTGTTTGGTGAAGATCGTTTGTCCAGTCCAGGATCGTGAATCCCAGGTGGTGGTGCTGTTACCCTTGGTCCACTCATCTTCCTTGGTGTTTCCAAGGTTGTTCACTGTTCGTCGACCTGGCTGAAGGTCGTGAAGGTCTGGACCTGGTGTAGCTCCTGGGTGGAACAGGGTTCTTCGTGGTGCGATGTGATGCCTGATCCAGTGCTGGGGTTTTTCCTCCCAGTAGTCTGGACCATCTTTTTCGATTTGATCCTGGCTTCTGGCATTAGACCAGGATGCGTCGGTGGCAACACCGACTCTCAAGTGGCCTGGAGCAATGGGCATGATGCGGATGCCACTAGTAGCATGCTTTTTGGCTTCCTGAGTGATGGAGTTGGCCTCGATGATGTCCTTGATCCGTGGACGTGGAAATACTTGTTGTAGTAGTGCCACTCTTCCAGCGATGTCCGGTCTGCTCTCTTTGGCCAACCATGCGAGGGCTCCGACGCTTGCTCGTAGGCTGGACACTTCTTTGTCGTCACAAAAGGAGAATCTTCTCTTCTTTCTGCTCTTCTCGAGGTGGATCTCGAAGAGCTTTTCTTGGACGTAATTTTCTTGGTTCACCGTGATGCTATAGTCCTCGTGCTGGGTGAAGAGCTTGCCGGTGAACTTTCCAGTGCCGTACTGGAATTTGCCAAGCTTATACTTGGTTTTGATCTTGTTCATGGCCTCTTCGTGGTCGTGGTCCCCACCGTGAAGAAGGTCATCAGTGGCGACAGCAATGATCCCACTGAGTTGTTCTTTTCCCGTTTCTAGATTGGTCTTGAGCTTGTAGTAGATGCACGGGTCCGCCAGGGACTGTTTGTACTGGAGGTCACCGACTAGGAACTTTCGAAGATGATTGTACCAGGCCAGTGGTCCATCTGTCAGGCCATAACATACCTTTTCCAGCTTGAGTAGCTGGCCAGGATTCATGCCTGGGATGCCTTCTCTTGGTTGGGTGGCATACAGAAGTCGTTCAATTGGATCTCCAGAGTGGAATGCCTGAGTGAAGTCCAGGAAACCCAATTTCCACTGAAAGCTGGAGATTAGCTGGGCCACAGTGAGGGTGCCTTCTCTAGTCACCTGTGGAGTGGTCGCCTCAATGTTCTCAGCCCCCTCTTCACTGAAGCCTTTCATGACGTGGCGAGCCTTGGCCTTGCAGGGTTCATCAGTGTCCCAATCCAGAAGTATTTCTTCTTCTTTGGCCTTTTCCACTTCGTGTGGTTCCAGTGGCTTGGGTGTGAGGGCCAGTCGACTTTCCATGATTTTGTTCGGCATGGTTTGCCTGACTCGAGCGGATTCTTCGGGGCTGACAATGGTGTAAGCACCAATGTTGATGTTATTCTGAATCTCCTTGCCAATGGCCTTCTTGAAGCATTTCTGGTTACGATGGTTGAGTTCTTGTAGTCGAACTTCTTTTCTTTGTCTTCCCTTGATCAGATTTTCCACCTTCAGAAGGTAGGCTTCTAAGAACTCCAATCTTGATCTTTTGCTGGGATGTTCATCCAGCTCTTCTTCTTCATGTGATCTCTTTTCTCGTTCCTGTTCTGGTTCGGGTGGTTGTAGGACCTCTTCTTCATATCGTTGAGGTTCCCCTGGTCGTTCGTCATCAGGTTCTGGTTGAGGAGATTGTCCATCATCATCAGCCAAATTATCTTGTGGCCCTTTTTCTCGATAGCGTTTCAATGGCCTTGGGTAGCCCATGGGTTCTTGTAGTCCTGGTGGTAGTGCTGGTTCCATTGGAATGTCCTGGTCTGGGGTTTCATCTGGTTCGGTCGGAGTGTACTCCTCATTGTTGGCTTCATCGTCTAAGATCTCGGGGAGCGGCTGGTCGGACAGGTCCAGGAATCCTCGAATCGGTTCCGTGACAATGTCCTTCTTCAGCTGCACGAGATCTTCCAACCATCCAGATAGTGCCATGTTCTCTTCCAACGAGGCTCTTCGGATTCTCTCTGGGCTGGCTTTGACCAGTTGAGATTGGTATGATAACCAAATGGTGCTAGGTTGGTCGATCATGATGATTCTTGCCGGCCCGTGCCAGTAACATGGTTTGAACTTCAGTTTCTTGTCAGCTCCCATTCGGAAGAAGTAGACAGTCTCGCCGATGTCATACTCCAGGATGGGTCGGGGGCCCGAAGCTACTGCTCTTCGGAGGGAGTTACTGGCATCTGCTTCGATGAAGGCATGTGCAGCAGCCTTTCGAAGCTTCATGGCCCGTTCGACACTGAGGTCGCCGACTTTGGCTTCTGGTTGTTGTCCTCGGTGACCATCATCTCCACTAAGAAGACCTCCGGGTAGGAAGGGATTGAAGCCTAACACCCGTTGACTGGGGCTAAAACCTCCAACGTTCATCATTCTATTTTTGGTCATCATGGTGATGTCGACCATTTCCTCCCACTCCTTCATGTTGGCACAGCTGAAGGTGTCCATGGTCTTCTGGAGGAGGTACTTAAAGGTTTTTCCATGACGTTCAGTGATGCCTCGTTGATGTGGAGCCTCAACTGCCGAGGGGTCGACAAAAGTTCCGTCTTGTTCTGCTTGTTCTGCGAAGGCTCCTCGGAATTCACGTCCCAGGTCCAGGGCCATTCGTTTTGGAGGGCCGAATAGACGTAGCCAATGTCTGTAGGCCTCTCGTACATGGCCTGGTTTCTTGTTATCCATGGGGATCATGAGGTGAAACTTGCTGGACCAGTCGATGATGTTTAGAGCTGGGCGTGACCGACTACCGAGGGTTGGCAGGAAGATGACGTCCACCCCAATGCATTCGTTGAAGGCCAGTTCTTTCGGTGGAGCACTTCTTCGAGCAGGCTTCACTTGGGAGTGTCGTTGACAGACACTGCATCGGAGATGCTTGGCAGCCTCAATGACTTCGGGTTTGGCTTTTGCGTACCTAAGGATCCTGACAAATCGATCTGGGGTCGGGTGTCCCAGACCAACATGTGCTCTGTGCAGAAGGCGTTCCAGTGGAAAACGTGAATGGAGTGGTAGTTGTTGTTCAGGTACTTCCTGAGCTTCGCCTTCTTCATGTTCCCTTTCGTGTGGTGGTTCCAGATCATCCTCTTGGTCTCCTGATCCGTTTGGTTCATGGGTTTCTTGATCCTCTCCATGTGTGAAGATCTCGGCGGTGTCGTAGGCCGGTACTTCCGGTAGGCGAGAATCTGGGCCGTCAGGAACTCGAGAATCGGGGTCTTGGCATTCTGTAAGACCAACAGGTACTTCTGGTTGTAGGCTCTTCAGCGCCCTGAACTCAGTGTCGATGATGTAGTTTAGCCTGTGGTTCTCGGCCAGCATGCTTTCCGAGCTGACTGTTTCAACATGAGCGACGTTGATGGACTGGCTGTAGGCCTTCAGGATGGCTGCTCGGAGTTTCTCCGGGTAGACCTGTGATCTTTGGGAACGATTACCTCCAATGATAACCTCATGCTCGTGATTGCCAGGACAAAGCTTGCATAGGGCCTGGGATATGGCCTCTGAGTTTGTTGCGAACCCAGTTCGTTTTCTTTGAGGAAGGCCAGATTGACCCTGTAGTCCATACTGGCATTGATCAGCCTTCGTGTAGATGACATTCGGTCGAGCCAGCAGCCGCTCCATGGCACGATGTTTCCAGGATGATGCGGCATGCGGGTGCTCAAATATGAACTTGATCCCAAGGTCATCACAGAATTCGCACAACCGGATGGCGAAAGTCAGTAACCTATCACCTTCTGCCTTGTTTTTCAAGTATCGTTTCATGAGATCAGGCAGTCGAGCGCGTTTCTCCTTAGAAAGGTTTTGAAGTTGAGTGTACATTTTGCAAGGTGGTGCGATGCAAACAAGTCCTGGTTTGGTCGTTTGAACATACTGCCAGACTTCGTTTTGTTTGTTTGTGGACAGCAAGTCATCTCCTAGAATCAAATCGAAAGCGCGGCCGGGAGACAAGTGAAAACGACCAGTGATCTTCTGAAAACAACCAGGGTTATACACTTCAGCAACCGTCTTAAGTTGTTTAACTGTCAATCCCATAACTTCTGCTATTTCGCGAGATCTTTTTGCGCCGGCTGGGTTCATAGTGAACTCCTGGCAAATTTCGTCATTTAGGGCCTGGGCCCAACACTGCAAAGGCATATCGGCCAGGAGCAGCTGAAGCTCTCGCCAAAAAGCCGTTGCCTTCTTAATTGCAGCACGAAGCTTCCGTTCCAGCTTCGGAGTCACCTGCTTCATTGGTCCTCCCGGTTCGGAGGCTGACGTTGGCTCTTCCAACGGAGATATTCTTGAAATTCCTGATAGTCGGTCAGGTGCTCCAGGTCGGTGCCGTCCGAGGTGATCTGAGGAGTCGCTGGTGAGGGGATTCCTTGACGAGAGTGTGGTACCGAGCTTGAGGATGTCGTGCTGGCCTTGGACTTGGTCCCCTCCATCTTTTCGATCTTCTCGGACTTGATGACCTTGTTGCAGATCCTGCAGGTGACCTTGGTGAGGAAGGCGTTCGAACCTTTCCGATGGGTTTCCTTGTGCTGGCATTTGGTTTGGATCATGGCCTCCAAGATCTGGGCATAGCTCACAGGCTCGTCGCCGGGCTGTTGCCGGTGACGCCAGCTTTCCAGGCTCAAGAGAGGCTGTTGGTCGCACCACTTGACGAATCGGCATTGATGGCCCTGCTCCAAGGGGCAGCGGAAGTACAGCTTCTCGTAGTTGTGTCCCGTTGGACCCGAGTCGCTGAGATGGATCTTGCACTGAAGGGCACACTGGCATCTTGGACGTGGTTCCAAGATCATCTCGATACCTGGTAGACTGTTGATCTGCCGGCATCTTTCTGTGAGAACTGGGTCTGGAGGAGGTCGTGGTCGACGAGCTGGATGAGTGCTGGTCTCGCTGAGGTTGGACCAGTATCCGTCTGCCTGAGGTCGATGGCCGGTGTCCTCTCGTCGATTCATCTCCTGGCGGGCCACATTCTGGATCATGGGGAGATCCTCGTCTGGCAAGGACCGGATCATCTCCTTCAGGGCCTCCCGGTGAGGTTTTGTACTGAGCATGTGATCCATGAACCTTTCCAGCATCTGCTGAAGGGGCATGAGCACCAGGAGGAAGCGCCTCATCAGGCGGAACCACGATTGAAGGACTCGATGTTGTTGGAAGTCCTCTTCCTCGGGAGTTGGACCGGCGCGAACTCGCTTCTGGCCCGCGGTCTGCATGGCAAGCGGCTGGATGCGGAGTAGCTAGTGGGCTCGAGGCTTGAATTGTACTCAGCTTCGGCGGTTCCATGCAGCCGTCCTGCAATTTTAAGACCTCAAACTCGACCGAGGTACTCTGGTTCATCGATTTCTGTTCTCGTTCAAGTTCTTGTTTTTGCACCTGGTTGTATTGTTGAAGTGGAATTCGTAAGGCACCAGTTGGTCCAAGGTGAAGGGGTACTGGTTCTGAAGTTCCTCGGAGTCGTAACTGGAGGCCTTGTTCATGACAGAGAATAACTTCTCCATGACAATGAAGTAAGAAGCTGAGTGAGATGAGGAAGGGCGCACCAGAGCTTTCCTCGTTTTCAAACACGGCGGGCTTCAGGAAGCTTCCTTTGTTACCCAAGGAACACGGAATGGTGGCAACCTTGGTCGTGACTGATGTCTGATGCACGCTCCTGAACCTGTTAGTTTCTGGAGTGAGGATAATCTTCAGGGGTTCAGGGAGATGTTGAGCAAACTCTCGAAGGGTGCGTGCTCCAATGGCGAGCCGTTGACATCCTGTATCAACAGTGGCGCAGGTCGCGTCCATCACATCATGAGGTTGGGGAGACTTGGAGACGAGGTTGCAAAACATGTTTTCAAAAACAAACAGTTGTTCAACACCGGTCGGACGGAAACGGTCACTCTCCATATATGCCGACGCGGACGTGCGTTCAGCATCCGTGGCATAGTCAGCCTTTGGCTGCCAGATCCTACCGTCCGGGCTCAGAGAGGTGAGCGGGTCATGCCACTCAGTACTGGTAGAAGACCTCAGCGCCGAGTTCATGTCGTTGGAATTCATGATCATTGGGTCCTGCTCGGAATCCTGACTGCCTTCCATGAGGTGGCCAATGAAGAAGGCCTCATCAGTATTCTCAAGGTAGTGGTTTTCGTTGGTCTTGAGATCGGGGTTCTTCTGTGGTGGATTCTTGCAGTCTCTCTTCCAGTGTCCGATCTGGCCACAATTGCGACACCGGGTTCTTTTCTGGAGCTCGGCAATGGTGACCGAGTACGAGCCTGGTCGAAGAGGTCGATCTCGAAAAGGTCCTCGGTCAGGTCCTCCGGGAGGTGGTCGCTTTCCGTAGCCACGGGCCAGTTCTCTGGCCTTTTTACTTTTGAGCGACTGGGTGTAGGTCTTCTTCTGCTGGACGTAGGTGGACAGGATCTCGGCGGCTTCACCTTCGCTCAGGACCGTGTCACCGTCAACGTCATCCTGGAGGTGCATGATGCATTGTTCAAGTTCATCCATCTCCTCCTTGTCCTCATCGTTCTCCTCGATGTCATTGTTCTCGATGTGGTGACCCTCGAACTCCGTGAGTAGGTTGACCTGTGCTTTCTTCTTGTCAGCTCCCAACTCAGCAGCTGACAGGCGTGTTTCGTTTTTCCTCAACCAGCTTTTAATTGAGCTTGGCTTGATGCATCCATGAGTGTAGTTCAACATGGCCTTGGTCTCTGTCTCGGTGAGCTGGAGGCCGTTGATCATCAAGAAGCCCTCATACTCTTCCGGAAGGGTGATCTTGTGCTGGTGAACCTTGCGAATGGCACCATCCCACTTCGCAAAGTACTCACGCCAGGTTTCATTCCGCTGGCGTCTCAAGTGGTAGGTGATCCTGGACATGGCGGTCAGCATGTGTTCCTGTTGATCGTCTCCATACTTCTCAGGGGTGTCCATGTCACTGAGAAGTCGTTCAGCGCCATGAGGATCAGCCATCCATTCTGGGTCTTTTGCCCAGTGTTTGTAATGCTCGAATGGAGCGCCGCTCAACATCTTCAACAGTAGTGGGCCGCGAGAGCGACCCTTGGCCTTGGTGGTGGCGATCCATAGCTTTGCCTTGATGAAGTAGTCCTCAAAGGGCGTAACACCGTCCCAAGATGGCGGTGGTCCAGCCGACCCCCGGCCGTCGCCACCTCCATCTTCCTCTTCTTCATCGTCGTCTCGCTGACGACGTCGCCCACGTAGACCGCGCCCTTCTTGCTCCCTTTCCAGACGAAGAAACCTCTGGAACCGAAGAAAGGCTTCGCGGTCAGTCCCCATGCCATCGGGCACGGATGGTGAACCTGCGGCTGGCGATCCTCCTACGGGCTCATCCAGATCGCCATCCGATGGCGGAACGGCCTGGGTTTGTCCGGCCATCCCAAAAGCCACAACTCCACGCGGGGGCTAAGTGTCCCACCAAAAAGGGAGTCAACCCCAAACCAACAAAAGGGGGAAGGAGACCCGGGCGTTACCGGGCTCCGCTACCACTGTGAATCCCAAAAACCGCAGCAAGCCCCCAAGCAAGAACGGACTCCCTTTTCAGCGGACACGTAACCCCCATTTGGAGTACAGGTTCCTAGCTTGGTCTTGGGTCGAGCGATGCCGGTGGTATTCCAATTTCACAGATTCACATACCTAGCGACTGCACGAAAGAACAGGTGGTTTTGGAAGCACCAACTTTGGTCGAATCACCGATGGAACGGAAGGCCCGTGTTTGGTCGAAGAGTGTGACATGTGTAATATGTGTTTGGGAACTGGGAACCGGGGCGAATGAATCATGAAGAAAACGTCTCGATGTTGATCTCCATTGCAGGTGGTGTTCATTGCAAGGACGGTTTTTTCAGCAATCCCAAGTCCCAGCAGTATTCACGCCTGACCCACCCGACGTAGCAGCTGCAGCTTGGGGGACGGCCCGAGCGAAAGGCGGGCTTGGGAGACGTCGAAGGGAATCAACTTGCCTTAGTGTTCAGAGTGCGCTGCTGTTCAAGCATGGTGCCCTTGATGTTTCAACGATTTGCAGTACCTGGCTCAAATATGCTAGTAGCTATACAAGCTACAAACGCTGCGTGTACCATGAAATATGCTATAGGTTAGTATTGGCAAAGGAACATCTAATACTGCTTCCCGGAGAACCCTTAAGGCTGCGTCGGGCTAACTCAAATGATCATTCACAACATTAATAGATCAACGTAGGCTGTTGGAATGCAAGAACTCACTTCACACTTCACCCTACAAGTCGCACCGCTTTCAAGTGTTTTTGGTCATTCAACGATCCAAAGATTCTTTGTGACCTGAACTAGGACCCATCACCTGTGGTACCGAGGGTCTCTAGGGTTCTTCAACGTCTCTCTGCTTCACTGGCTGGTCAGACCGTCCACTGGCTGGTCACTGCGGAAGCACTGACGGGGCACGTAGCACGATGTCCACTGCTTGCAAGGCTTCACTGCTACAGTTGCCACTGGCTGAAGCCTCCCAAGATGCAATCTGTGCGATCCCAGTCGCTGGCTTCCAAATACGCGACTGTTTGGCTGTTCACTGAGAATATGGAGGACTCAGCACAAACGTCTATTTTTAGACATCGATGACAAATACTGCTTATCTTGTCTTATTGAGACGAAATAAGTAAGATAGTTTTCGGTTGGGTATATAGATTACCTGGGCTCAGTGGATGATAGCTTGCAGGCCAAAAATCGTGATAATCTTTCTACCGACGGCCATACGGCTATAACTACTGAACTCGTCATGGGCCACACACACCCTAGCTATCGGCAACTTCATGCTCCAATCCTTAAAAAGACCCCCAAGTGGATAGAAGTATGTAGATCCCCAAGTAGAAAACGTATTGGACACCGTGCCACGGTCATCTATTTGGGGACCACTCTAAATCAAAGTTCTGAGTCCTTCCATGTCGTTGAAACGACACGGTACCGCTTGCCGGTTCGGACCTACTCTGCTGGCAATTGGTAACGTTGTCCACGAGGAAGGTTGCACTGGGTCATGTCCCCCAAAAAGGCGGGTCACATGGAAAGCGGCCCTGCTTGGTTCTGATAAAGATTGTCGTCGCTTTTGTGGGCTTGGAGAAAGGTTGCACTCGCATCTCATGCAGAACCCTGCTTGGGACTGGCCTTTGTTCAGTGCATGTCAGTGTCTATATGTGTCGCTACTTACAGGTGTTCTTGCCACAGGATGCTGAGACCAAACACGTGCGATCTTTCTGAACAACTTGTTTGTCTTTAAGTCATGCAAATCACAAGATCGAACCAAACCAGCACCCAGCATGCACTTACCCCACACCACATGGTGTCAACCTCCACCACCCAAGCTGGCAGCCTGAAGCCGCCCGGCACCCTGTCGACGTCGCCCCACCTTGCCATTGAAGCGCACCGAGACAAACAGCTGGATCCGTCGCACCAGCCTTTGTTGGTTGAAAACGTCCCCGCGAAACCGGTCCGGCACGGTGCCCGGTGACATGGGGGAGATGGCCACGGGCATGGATCTGTGGGATTCCCAGCCCTTGATCGACAGCAACCCAGACACAACCCGTCTGGGACTGCCATAGGACTGCATACATTGGGGTGGTGCCAGGGGGGTCAATGGGGCGGCATATACGGCAGTCCCATGGAGTGTTTGGGAAAGGCACCCCTTGCTCTTTAAAAGGCTGCTCTTGCTGTCATGGGCCATGGTCCGATTTTGGGATCTGAAGGGTGTATCATACAAAAATCCATATTATACGCCCCGGGAATAATCATGGAAGTGGTAAAAGTTCCCTTGGATTGGATGACCATTGCCCTTACACACAGGTGGTGCTATCCGCTTCCATGATTTCAGGGAGTGTACTGGCTTAGGCTGAAGAGACTCTCTGTGAGGGAGACCCTGACCGGGGGTTCCAGCATCTGAAGAATCAATGAACTGCACCCCTAAGGCGTCCGAACTGTGAATGAACGACCCACTTTTGTTTCTATGAGATATATACATGTTCAAGAGATGTTGATGACAATTACTATACTGTAAATGTCCTGTCTAAAGCAAACTGCCCAAACAATGATAGGTACCATGGTATTTCTGCTCATTTGCTGAGTGCGCCAACAAGCTGGTAAAGAAATCCACAAATTGTGAAACAACAATTCTTGTGGCTAGTAGGATACGATACTAGATGATGGGGATCAGTTGGGCCTTGTGCCAAACGATCCAACATTCAAGTTCTGCAAAGTATGTGATCACCAGCGATGTCGCGCACGAAACCGGGTCGGCGGGTCTCTGAACCAGCCTTTCTGTTCTAGGTGCTGGTAGAAGTACATTTTTAGTGGGGTCTTACTTTTCTCATGTATCTATATTTGGGGGTCTATATAATGTTCCTTCACTCGGCAAGAGATGTATATATAGAGATTCAAGTTGCTGGTTTAGCGCAGCGCGACGTTCTCGCGGCAGAAGCCAAGCTGCAGCTCCTTGATGAAGACCGGAGTGGGCACATCGAAGTCATCATACTCCTCGAAGTCGCATCAGGCCAACCAAAAAAGGCTAATCTTCATTGGGTGGATTTGGCCAGCCTTGTGATCATAGAGTCATAAAGTCATAGTCATCTGGTCCAGTTGGACTGGATGATGGGCACACAAAGATACACAAACTATCATGAAATTGGTTTGTTCCTTTGACCATTCTTGGAAGGAGGTTTCAACACGCTTCTAATGGAGGCCAAGGAAAGGATCTTGACGCGTCCATAGGAGAATTAGAATTTATGAATGGTTGGGCCCCTAATAAAGCCCCAAAGGTGATCAAAGAAAGGTGCTAGGCAAGCATTTGATGACCTCTTGAACTGTATGTCTTAGGTTCTTGCAAGATAAACTATGACTACACATGACTACCACGGGTCCCTCTTAAACTGAGATCAATGACAGATGGTTGTTTCCTGGTACTTGGGGTACTTGGGGCCTGGCTGTCTAATTCTTGAAATCCCAACTCAAGTCGCAGAAGCTGCTTGGTCCGAAGCGCAGAACAGCTCAGGGTTTCTGCTGATGATGAACTTTGTCTACATATTTCCTCCGAAGCAACTTCACCACATATACAACACATAAAACAATCTGAGGACCCATCGAACTCCGATATCCCATCAAACATCCCACTTGTTATAGCATCTCATATAAGATATCTCCCCGTTTCACGTCCCGTGAAACACGGGGTAAACAACGTCCCCACCGCTCCGGGCAGGGAGGTTCGCCCACCACCGGATCATGGCCATCGCCCTGGCTGGCCACCAAGAGCTCTTCACCGTCACTCCTGGACGAGCGAAGAGTGACCACACCACGAGCTTCAACACGGTGACGCACACCACCCGCGGAACGTTGGGACCACCCCGGGCGTCCGGTTTTGGACCATCCACCTCCGCTGGCAGCGGTCGAGAACTACGGCGTTTGAGTCATGGACATCGATCGACGAGAAGGAACGTCACGAGACCACTTGGGATGACGTACGTGGAGGACCTTACGTCGCACATGATGTCTCCCCCAACAAAAAGGACGATCTCCCGTCTCAATGACAATGGCAAGACCCTCTGGACCGGAAAGCCTGACCATGAGCAGTGAGAAAACACCGTCCCGTTCGGTCGAAGCTGGTCCCGGTTCGGTCGAAGCTGGGTCGGTGTTCTCTCGGTCCCTGTTGGAGGGCTTGTTTTGACTCGCAGCCACTATGTCCAAGGAAAACACACTTGCAGTAGCTTTGTAATTGTAGCGCCATGTCTGTTGAAACACTGATAACTGATCACCGCAGTCATCAAACTTCCTCCGCTGTGGAAGGAGAATCTCCACAAAACCGTCGGATCATCATGAATCAATATCTGCAACATGTTGAAATCAAATGTGCAGTGTTTTGAGAGTTTTTTACACATGTCTGTAGATCTTCTTGTCTGGGGAGATGTCTGGAGCGGTTGGGGTTTGAACCCCGATTTCTTTGGAATTCGTTGGCTCAACCGCTTTGGCTCAAACACACCGGTCGTCGCTCCTCCAGCGGGTCTTGAGCTGCCGTCGCAGGTGGCCAAACATTGGTAAGGCGGCCAACAAGGGCTCAGCTCGGCCTGGAGTCTGTTCGTGGGAGGTTGGGGTCCAGCACCGGGAACCGGTCGTTCTCTCTCGTCTACTCATCGAGTTCCCCGGAAAGCAAGTTCAGTATGTGTTTGTCTGTTAGGTTATTTTCATTTTTAGAGCCAATCCTTAAGACTGCACACACTGAGCCGCAAGAGCAATCAATAAGCAAGAGCAATCAATAACACCATCAAGCCATTCATGACTGATCTACAGTATATATGCGATCGATCTTGTGGTTGGAAGAAAGCACCCTGATTGAACCTGCTGACGACCGAGTCACGAAGCAAATCCAGGCCGAAGATGGCCAGCTGAAAACAACTCAAAGTGTCCAGGCGCAGCTCAAGGGGTTGCATCTCCTGAGCTGAAGGATGTTTTTTCGTTGGTGTGGAGCATGGGATCTGGGTGGATGGGTGTCTAAGTAGATAGAAACAAGCCATGAAACAACAGGATGTGGGATTGCAGAGTTGACGAAGCTGGGCAGTCCGGGTCCTTTTTGCCGGTTGAGACCATGCGATTTCATCAGTCAAGGTCCATCTGGGTCCAAGGGGTCCTATCCTCTATCCGTTGTGGTCCATGACCTAACACTGCTTCTTCCAGAAGGGACTGATGAACGACCAGCAGGCGATCGAATCTGTATGGAGTTGATGGAAAAAGTGCTACTTGTTGGCAAACCCGGGATCCAAACACCTTCTCAGGTACGGTGATTCGTTCGACACTGTTATGTATGTGTGGAGGGTCCAGTCATACCTTCTGAGGTACGGTACGACTGGATCCCTAGGGAAACAATGCATCAACACAAACCAAGTCAACACACAGACCGGACCTCCAATGGTAGACCGCTTGCTCGGTCACTCCATCCCTTTTTTTCATGATGACCACCGAAAAGACGCAACAAACAATAGCATTAAGGGGTAGGGTAGGTCAAATTGCAGTAAATTTGCTGCTAGATATTAGATATATGGATTCATTTGACTTCATTGAACGGACATGGGGAAATTCACTACTTTCTCCTGATACAGCTGATACATGCTGCAAATAGATTGAACATGTATCCATCACATGTGTTTTCAGGGCATTTGCATTTAGACGATTTTGCTTAAGGGGCACCCTGCAGGTTGGGCCCCAATGTAGAAAGGGCTGGGAGTTGGACTGACTTTAGGAGTTGGCTAAATTCAACTAGTCACACTAGTCACTTGTGAACCCTACCTCTAGATTTCTCTAGATCTCAGGCAAATCTTTAAGAAAAGAGCTCGAATCAGATCGCCGATCATGTAGACGTACTGTTGAATGAATATATTTCAATTCCCCCCCATGTGAAGAAGAGACTGTTTTTCAATCTCACTATGTTTTTTTCTTATAGCAATCAACTGTAGTCTCCATGACCTTGCGCCTGAGGTCAGGGCCTCAAACATCACCTTGCGCGAAGGAAACAGCTCGCTCAGCTCCACCCAGGAAACATTCTTCAGCTCCAAGTCTCGATCTTCAAATTCTCCACCTCCAAATGAGCCGCAAAACCTGTGCGGGACCGTGCGGACCGCGTTTGGACGGACGCCGGTCGCCGGGACCAGCGGTGTCGGGTCGCGGGTCGACCGTTAAGCGGAGGGAGAGGTCGAGCGAGAGAAACCGGTGTTGGACCGGTCGGTCGTGGCCGGTGATTGGAACCAAACACGAAGACCCCTGCTTGGTTCGTCCGATTCCGGTCGGAATGGAGGGAGGCAATTGCGGTGGGCGACACTTATAGGTTGTGAGTCAATACTGTTGGATGTATTCTTTTTTTTGGGGGGGTCACAGTAGAGTCATAGTCAGGGACTCTTGCAATGTTCCTGGAGCGTTGGACATCGGCTTACTCGCACCGGTTTGACAGTGGCTTAAAGCTTGTGACGCTTGTTTTGTCAGGTGATGATTGACAACTCCAAGGTTTCAGCTATACCAGCAATACAAGCTTCTTGAAGGGTGGAGCAACAGCCTCACTGACGGCACAGGTTCCCTGTGTCTGTCCATTGGGGTTGGGATTCATATGTTCATCTGCAGCAGTTCCACTCCCAACACATGGAAGTCATGTCACCCGGCACCCAGGAAGACTGAGTGCTTGCAAACAGGTCGTTATGAGTGTACAGTCTACGTGAGGAAGGAACAACACACTCTAATATTGGAACTCCATGTTTGTTGCTGATCAAGTGGGGTGATATCAATACTTTAGACCACTTCCAGTCTTTGTTCTCAAGGCCTCATTCGGCCCAACCCGTGCCCCCCCCGTGCCGTCTCCACTCCACTCGCCGCCTGCCCCTCGCTCCAGCGCCAGCCATGTCGCGCTGATGTCCAAGAAGGGGCGACCCTCACGGACCCTTGCCGGCAGGCGGCTCCGTTTCGGACGCACCATCACGTTGCCTCGATGCCCAGGGCGCACCCCATCCCCATCCCGAGATGGTCTGAGGCTGAGAAGTCTGAGGTCGGATCTTGGTCTCTGAGGTGGATGAAGAGTGAAGGTGGATGGTACAATGGTACTCGGACAAAAGGAGGTATAACATGGAAGTGGAAAATGGTCCCTTGGAAGACATTGGAAGACTACTGTGACTACTTTCCTTTACAAACAGGGGGTGCCATCCACGTAACCATGTGATGTGTTCGTCGGAGTGTGGGCTGCCTGACATCTCATTCAAGCCCCCCCTTTTTAACCCTGAACCCGAAATTCTTAGTTAATTAAATTATCTTCAGACTCAGCCACCCAAAAGAAAAGGTCCGAGTCCAAGAATTGCGAGCGCAAAGAGGCTTGATGCATCTGGCAAAAGACTTCGAACTCCTTGGACCATCAGAGGAAACTCCTTGGACCCTCCAGTAACTCCTTGGACCCTCCTGGACCTGGGTGTCCAGGTTGGAGATCCCTTACTAAGTAGTGTAGGGTGGTCCAGACACCCAGACAGGATGCTCCTGGTCTGTCTGTCGGATTGCTCTACACATTTTGGGAGACATTTCTGTCAAGACCTGGTTGTTTCTTTGGTCCAACCGTCGCGGTCTCTCTTTTGGCTTCCCCTTCTGTTCCCGCTCATCCCGAGCATCTGAACAGTCCCTGGTTGCGTAGAAAGCAGTGTTGCTCCAAAAGTCTCTGGCTTTACATGGTGAGCCACTCAATCTTGCAACTGCGATGGCCTTCAAAGAGCTTGATCTCCAGCCAACTCACTGCTTCAAAGACGGTGTCTCTTTAAACCGCTACGCACTCTTCAATCGAAGAAACCAGAAACCCAACCTTCGCCCCGCCAGCCCCCCAGACTGAGCTCAGCGGTGGGAAAAAAGGCTAAAAACACGCCCCCCTTGACTCAGCTTCTGGCTCCGCCAACCGGCGCTGTTGTCATGCACATCCAGCTGTAAGGAGCCCAGCTTGATTTCCAGAGCTCGTTGGGCGCCTTCATACTTCACCATGTCCACCACCTCGGAGGTGCACTCGCTCTTCGACCAGGGACGGGGACCGGAGGGGAAGTCCCGCCCCAGAAAGGATCCAGATCCAAGTTCTCGGTGTTTCTCGGTGCTCTTGCTTAAGCCCAAGCAAGCAGCCAAGCTGTCAGCACAGAAGTAGGCCACCTCGTTCAAGGAGGTGCTATCCACCTTAGAATCTGGCTTGTCTGGCCAATCTGGCTTCAATGATTTGCATGGGAATCTGAAGTCCAGAATCGAAGCAAATCATGCATCATGCTTGCATGTAACCATGCTTCAATCTGTAATCATCTAGCATCTTCATTTTGGACGTGCCATGATTACAGATTCGCCCCGTTCAGAATCGTGAGACCTCATTTGACCTGTCTGCATCTGCCTTATAGTCATAGTCTGCTCATTCAGGCCGACACCCCAAGCCATTTTCAATGAACATTTTGTCACATAATTTGAGGGAGGAAAACCAATCGCCCCCCCCCCAAAAGCTATAGTTAATGGATTTTATATCAACGGTATTTAACAGGTGATCCGTGCGTGTGGATGCTTCAAGCTTGCGCGTGGATGTGGCGTGTCGGCAACTGGGGGCAGGCCACGAGTGTCACACCTGCACCCTGCGCATAGAGCTCCAGTACCGTGCCACGCAGGCGTTGGCAGCGCTTGCGGCCCTGGATGGTCCAAAAGATGCCCAAGGAGCTCCGACCTGGAGGCCAGATGTTTGGGGTGGGATGGTCCCACTTAAAAGAAGAAAAGGGACTTGTCAAAGGACTTGGACATCAGAACATCTAACATCTGAAGAAAATCCGGGTGCCCAGAGTAAGGAAAAGTATGGGTCAGCATGATCGTCATGGGTCCAAAGTTCGTTTGAGGTCGTTGGATGCTCCAATCCTGAAAATCTATAGGAACCAAATCATTGGGCGGGGGAGCTTCCTTGAAGAAGCAAATAGCTGCGTCCAGCTCCTAGTAGCTTCAGTAAGGTACTGTCGCTACCTCTTCTAGCTACCTCACCTCTACACCGTATAGAGTCTACGGCCTACACCTCCTTAAAAAAAAAGGAAAACACACAATACTTTCAGACCGTCAGATGACCCGGCGTATCGGATTCTTTCGGCCTATCGGCAGGGCGGCCTTGCGTCGGCATCGTTCATCGAGGAGGTGTCGCAACGAGAGAATGAGAAGCAAGTGGGTGTGTATGAAAATAGGGAGACCTCCCAGTTCGACTCCCTGGAAGAAGGAAGATAGACCTGGCCACATGCCGAAACCCTCTCACTATCCAGCTCTCTCAGATTTAGTCACTGGACCCCTCTGAACTGGAGGGTTTTCGGGGATGAGAGGCACCTGCTGGATCCTGGAACCTGAAATCCGGTCCTTGAGTCTCGGAAGCTCATGCAGTGCCCTGACCATCTAACATTCGACATACGGAAGCCGCTGCACCAGGAGACATACAGAAGAACTGTCCAGTTCTGGTGGATTTTCTTGAGTTGCATCACAGCCTGTTTGGGGCAAAATGCTTAGAACATCTTAGAACTCTGCAGCAAGCGTCGGAGCTTGGAAATCCGGGACGTCAAGGATCTTGTGCTGGGCATGGCAGTAAGCCTGAGTGCGCGTGCCGTGAACCCGAACATCTTCGCAATAGAGACCCTACAGTGGATTGAGAGTAGTTGGCACAAAATACCCCAGGTTCGGTGGTTTATATCGATCCCTATCTAAAAGACCTCTTGAAAACCCCCGTGCCATCGAGCCTCTGAAACCACTGATTCGGGTCTCTCCTCATCCCAAACCTCCGCCTCTGTGGGCTCTGTGGTCTCTCCTCTGAGCCCCTGAGCTGATCTTGTACGTGTTTTGTGGCACATGGACCCTGTTCAATATGGGACCAGAACACATTCTGCAAAAACGCACCATCCAAACAAATTTATATATTCCCTAGGGCTCCAAGTACCTCCTCAGAAGGTATGACTGGACCCTCTTGGCACCCACCCCAGTCCCACCATTTTAGAAGGTACGACTGGAGCCCTAGGGATTTACATATGACATCATATCCCAGACACTCCATGTATGCCATATGTGCCTACATTGACCCCCAAAACCACCCCAATGTAGGTAAATATACCATACATGGAGTGTCTGGGTATGACAGGTGGCTTTGGGCACTTCATCACCCTGCTGCGCCAAGTCCCCACGAACATCGGGCCACCGTGGTGTGCCGGCCAACATCTGCAGCGGCAGGGTAGGCCTTCTGCGACGAGGGCCTCAGGGTGTAGCATCCTATGAGATAAGCAGCATAAAACGCTTCAGGTCCACCCCCTGGACCCTTTTTTTTGAGGAACAAACAGCATAAAACAGCTTACCCTCCCTGGAAGAATCATGAATTGGAACATAGAGAGCATGGCCCATGATTCTTCCATGGAGAGTACTACCTTATAAGTAAGCACCTCTTCGTTTTTGTTCATGGAGAAAAAACAAGCCCCTCCAAATGTCCTGCCTTGCAGGTGAATCCCACTGAACTTGGAGGGACATCTCCTTGAACAACTGGGAGTCTTTTTTCACGTGGAGGATGTTGAAAAGCCTTGTCCCTGAATGCCACCAAATGCTCAGGCCTGACAGCTATTTCACCATGTGTTGGGTTGTCTGATAAAGTATCTCGTCCAGCGGGTGGATGGGCCCTATCCTCCAAAATCGGCACCGCACGCGGTAAACAGGAACTGCTGGTAGTTGCTACAGTTGTTGCCGGCTGCTGATGGAAATGGGTGATCCAATCTTTCGGCTCAGACCCTCGGGTTTGACACATTCTCCGCTTCGCTACCCCATGCAATGTCTCAGTGGAAATCGCGCGATGTCTCGATCTTCGTTCCAGGGTTCACGCGATGTCTCTTTGTCCCAAACACTCCATGTAATTCCATGTATATATATATAGAATAATTCATCATACCGTATTTATACCTTTATATACTGTACTATGGCGGACGAGCAGTTTTAATACGTTATTGTTCTTTAATCACAGTTAGAATATGGCTTTCCACAGAGCAGGGGAAAGATCGGAGACCACATGCAGTTAGAATATAAAGACACAACGAAACAAAAAACAATTTTACAAACAACTGCGGTGATTTGCAGCAAGTGAATGGAATGTAAACTGGTACTGTACTGTACTGCTTAGCTTTTGTAAAACTCCACTGCAGAAGCACCTGCTTCAAGTGCTCCCTCACAGACTTACAGTAAGAAGGTCTATTAGGTTTGGAGGCCTAGCTTTGTCTCTGCAAGGTATCATGGTTTTGGACTGACAGTTAGAATATGTTCCCCTGCTTTCTGAAAGGCCCATATTCTATCTGCGAGGGTCATCCCCAGAGTCATCGATTTTGGAAGGTTTGGGGCATGAATTTAAACCATACATGTTTGACATGCATACTGCAATCATCTGCATATTCTAACTGTCAGTCCTCCACTGTAGTTACATTATTAGTTACTTAAGATACATTGTCTCTTAAATGAGGTATGAATGTATGTAACATGTCAACTACTCCAGTCCCATGAAACTATTCTGTACCATGAGCACATTCCTTCGTCGCCGCCAAGAGGCTCAACCCCGGAGAGATCATCCTCGTCTTGCGTCGGGGCGACAGGTGGCGCGCTGTGGGCGAAGGCCGCGGCTTGGGCTTCGGCTTCTTGCTGCCTCCAGGCCCGTGAAGGGAGATCCATCCCGGACAATAACCTTGTTTTACTGGAGTTGGTCGTGCAATTTTAATGGATGTTACAAAAAGGGACTTCGGTCGGTTGCGGGGTTGTGTCATGGTCTACCACGGTCTCGGCCTCCGTCGTCTTCCAGTCTCTTCATGTCCCACAGGTCATCGAATCAAAAAAACGAACAACAAATGACCTCGTCCCTTGTCTGCAGGTCCCGTCGGACACGAATGCTCTAAACCTCCGCGCGGAGAACTCGCTTCTTCAGAGCCGTGAAGAGCCGTGAAGAGTCGCGCCTAGCATGCGCTGCAAAAAGACGAAGGGCGGCAAGTGGTGCTTGAGCCCCTTGGAGTTCTTCCGGGGTTTGATCTCTGCATCACGGATCACAATGTGCCTGCAAGGCGGTGAAGATGGGCCGGGAACTTGGATGAAGACGTGGCCAAACTGCTCTAAATAGTAAACTTCTCGAAGCTTTATGATGCTTCATGTATAAGTTCTTGAAGACATCTGGTGATGTAATTGGTCCTGCTATGATCAACAATGCCTTTGAAAGGCCAGGCGCCGTGGCCCTCACGTGGCCCGACTTGCCCAAACGGCACCCATGGCTCCGGTCGCCAGTCCACCGCGACGAACATGGGTGCCCGCCCCTCCCCAGGAAAGGGAACGCTTAGTCGCTGACCCTCCCTGAAACAGGTCATGGGAAAGTGGAAAACCTACTCTCCCCCCGCTCGCCGATCGGCAAGCAGAAAGCAGTCGACGACCGTCATCGGAGCCTTCCAAACGGACCTTCTTCGTTGCCGGAAGCGGACGAGCTCCGTCCGCTCCGGACCGACGCTCCGGACCGACGCTCGGTCCCCTCCGCTCCGCCTGGGACGTTCCTTGAGGACCTTCACGCGCATCGCTCCGAAGACGGCCTCCTGGGGGAGCTCGATGTCGATCACGGTGCTGTACCTGGCGGAACGAACGAACGTGTCGGTCGGAACGACGCACGGTTTTCGGATCGGACTCCAGGACTCCAACAACTTGAAAACAAAACGAACCAGAAGAGTTCCGAAAACATCGATTTCGCACACTTCCAGTGAATCACCTTCCTGAGATCCAAGGTTTAAACATCATAAACAAACTAATATGAGATCCAAGCTGGGTCCAAGACCTCTAAGCACATTGCAGTACGGATCGTACTACATTCCTTCCCTCACCCTCACCCTCACCCTCTCTGCACCCCGTAGACCGGTCCGGACCGGTCCGTCTCACGTCTGGCGGCTCGGTGTTTGGGCGCGGGACGAGTGAAACGTGGGTCGATGGGACCCGCATCGACCCATTGCGTTTCAACCTAGCGCAACGCTGTCTCCTTTCCATTTCGTTGCGAGCCGGTACGTAGTAGGAACAGATATACAAGATACTACACCGGGGTCCTTCGTGGAGAACGAAGGAACGAATTGAATGGATGAAAGGAATGTGAAGATCTGACTCTGGGATGAGTATGCATCGAGTTCATGTGGTGCGACCTGAACTGCTAGTGTGTGTGCAATGACATGTTATGTGCCCATGTTTCTCAAGAAGCTTGGAAAACGCATTCATCATAGCGGAAGGGTTTGGTGTCCTTTCAGCATGATCCGTTGGACTCCGGACTGTATCCGTCCGGATGACAGGCATGGTGTGAAAGAACAGCTCAACTGCAGGCGCCTGATGCTAAGACTCTTCTTATGCTACGGGATGCAACGTTTTTCTTTCTGCTTCGTTCTTCATTTTCTTATCTTAGCCTCATCATCTTCTCGGTTTGTCTTCTCGTGCTTGTTCCTTTGTCTTTTCTTTCCTTTTTGGTTCTCTTTTCCTGCTTGCTTGTCTTGCTGAGTTTTGTACAAGCAGCCCACATCTTGGCTTTCAAGGTCACTTGAGAAACAAAAAACTCTGTAGATACAGAGGACTGGGGAAGTTCAAAACCCTAATCATCCATGTATGGAATATTACAATCTACATTGACCCTTAAAACTTCTTAAGATCACCCCAATCTGATCAGCAAATCTTCCGGTGCCATGGATTGTTGGGAGTACAAACACCGATCTTTTCTGACAAGACTCTAGTGCCTCCAAATGTTTCAGGGTCAACTCACTGCCCCTCAAACTGAGGGACTTCAAACATGGCAAAACCACTGTGTTGTACCGTGCTCCTGCTACTGGCTGCCACAGCTTTGCTTAGGTTGCCATGGAATGGAAATGATTGGAACATTTGCAAAAGGTGCCAGGGATTGTCAGGGTGAATTTCAACACAAGCTTGTAATCGAAAAGGTTTTCTCCTCCATTGCCATGCATATCTTCATCAAATCATCACGCTGCAATTCATCACTTTTCAATCTGTAAGTCTCACACACACACACACATGACATGCGCTGAAATTCCATCGTGCTTGTGCCGGCACCACGGTGTCAACACACAGAAAAAGGGCCTATCTTCTGGCCCGACACCGGGCCAGTCTACGTCGAGTCGATCGTGGCAACGAGGGAAGTTGAAAAAACTGCGGACAACAACTCACCTGCATGTCTGCTATTGGGGGATGTGCTACTGCGCAAAGGTTTGATCTGTTTGTTTCTCGGCTCACCGACGGAACATCTGTCCCAGCTTGATCCGAGCCTGATCTCATCTTCTGCACCCAATACTGCCAGCCTACCGGTCGCGCGACCACTAAGTCAATGGGTGTCAAACGGTGGGGCAAGTCGACCCAAAGATTTGTGTTCCAACCGAGACACTCCATGTATGGAATAATTGTTACTTAATAGGGTCTTAAATGGGGTATAGATGTATGTACAGTAACTATTCCATACTGGTTAGACAACAATCTTCTCAGGAGGTAGGACTGGAGCCTATTCCAGTCCCATGGATGAGCTGGGCCAGAAAACCAGCTTCGGTAGGGCGAGCTCGCTGATGTACCAGCTTCTCGCAAACAGCCCCATGGAAGTAGGACGTATGGGACAAACCAAACCCATGGCATAGGATGGTCAAGGTCAAAATGTTTTTTTGTTTCTGTATGTCCCATGCTTGTGAAGGAGCGGATGATTATGGTTTTAAAGTAGCATTTCATGGCATGTCTCAAACACCATGATAATCCTACTGATAATGTCGACTCTTACTGGTCATGGGACGCACCCAAAGGCTTGCTCTCCATGTCACTGCAACTTCGCAACTTTGGCAGCCAACAAACGACCCCAAAAAAAGAGCAAAACCTTGAGACTCGAATGACCTACCTTCAATGTGTTAATCCATTCCCTAGGGATCCACCTATGAATCTAAGTACTGTCTCAGAAGGTAATTGGACCCTCCTAACCTACATAACAGTGTCGAACACATCACCGTACCTGAGAAAGTACGACTGGATCCCCAGGGATTCAAAGCATCAAACCAGAACCAATCAGATCAACAGATCTCTTTCATTGCCCTGCAGGCGCCTCACTGGAAAGGTGCCCTGTCCACAGATGAGAGCGCCCACCGGCACGAAGGGGGCGCTCTCTCCAGGGAACAAGTCCAAGGGCGCCCCAGCATCCTCAGCGGATTCAAATCAAAGGCAACATCTTCAGATCCGTTTTTTTTCAATGGATGTGCTAAAGGGAACATCTACAGCAAACAATGGTTTTCACTCAAAATTATGGCTTTCCTTGTAGATTTTTCCTGAAGCCAATTCTGGGAAACATGGTTTCTTCAGCAAATGGTCATATCGATGAAGCATCCCTAGATTAAATATAAACCATCTTAGGTAGAAGTTGCAAATATCGACATGGTTTCTGTACGAACGTGATGACGTTGACGTGTCGCAAGCGATGACGTGTCTTCCATCCAATCAACCAAACGGCTTGGCCGACGTGGTCCGTGGTTGACTTTGTGATTCATATCATGAACAGAATGGATCAATCAATGGATCAATCAGGAGAGTCCGCCTAAGAGGGTTTAAACGTGTAGGCCTTTGAGAGGTCGGAAGGTCCTTCGAGCCGAGTGTCAGGCCCTTCGAGCTGGCTGACACTGCAAACCTGGTTGGGCTCCAGTCGAGCTGAAAAACACATGTGGTCCTCAGCCTAGGCTGTGCCGCTATTCTTTTAAAGACATACTGCAGAAAAAAAATAAGAACACGTGCGCAATGCGCAAATGAGCTCGCCAAAGTGCAAATTCACACACACACACATCATGATTGGAAGATTTGTTAGCAAGGCCATCTGGCCTTCATTGGTCCAGATCTGTCTTGGTCTGTGATCATATCACACTTTGGAAGCCACTCACACACACCTCAACTTTTCTCTTATAAGCATCCGGCCTGCTGGCTGACGTTCTCGAAGAAGTACCTTACCCAGTGGAGTTGGCTTCTGAAGGTTTGCCCCCCGCCGATCGTTTCTTAAAGCCCAAACGTTGGTTGGAGCTCGAAATAGACCGTTGAGGAAAAACCCAGTCATAGCTGGAGTTGGTCGGAGTTGGTAGAATCGGCTCGCAGAGAGACGATCATCCAAAAAGAGTCAGCCGTCACTGAAGCGAAACAAAACAAAAACATGAACACACACACACACCACCCAGTTTGCATGGCTTTTGGATTCTAAACACATGATCACGAGTCTCTGTCAACCACCGAACCTGGGGAGTGTTGGCAATTCATCGTCAAACTGTTCCCATCCATGAAATCAAAGTTCTTGATCGCTCCCTCCCCACGTTCGTGCTTTTACGTCATAATCCCCTGTACCAGGTGACCACATGAGCGGCCCATCCAGCCGGGCAAACTCCCTTCCATCTCCTTCCTCTCCAGGCCACGGGCAGTTCGCCTTCACATAAGGCCTCAGTTCCACCACGAGGAAGTCGGAGATCGGATCCTCACCATTCAGCGCCACGCCGTTCCAGTCAAAACTGTGTCTTCCGGCGCACCATGGACAGTCAGGCACACGGACCGTAGCGGAACCCTTAATCGTCCGACTGGTGTGACAAATGAAGAGGTCTCGAAATATCTCGAAATAACTTATCAAGACACACATATATATATATATAATATATATATATATATTATATATACCAAGATCCTCTTTTGACATCTGCCTGTTGACAGAAGCATGCAGCATGCACCCGACTCAGAGTCTCGTCCCTGTTAGCGACTGGAATCTGGAAACCAACCGAACTCCCAAACCGCACGAAACATCACGCTTTTGGGGGAGTCCCAAAAAGACCTAGACCTCCCCCAGATCGTCTTCTCAGTTACAACTCCACACATCGCTGGTGCGGGGGGAACCGACTGCTCTCCACCGAACGACACGGGTCTCCGATGGACCGGACCGGTCCTTCTTCACATCGACCATGGTGATCTCGAAGACGCTGGTCATTCCGCTGCCGCCGCTCTTCATGTGCCGCACGAAGCCACGCTGCCCCGCCAGGCTCTTGGTGAGCATGATGGGAGCCTTGGTGAAGGGGTCGAAGCGGGAGCTCGAACGGCGGCTGTGCCCTGTTTTTGGGGGGCGGAAGAATGGATGGCTGTGCCCTCGCTGTCTGATGCCTCTTTTGCAGCTCCTTGATGTCCAACAAAAGCCAAGCACGGTCAGGTTCCAAGCACGGTCTAACCCAATTCTACGTTCTACCAGTGTCTTGAACATCACCAGCGAGCTCGCCCAAGCTGTCAAGCATCTCCAACTCACCCAACATCATTCGAAGAACATACAACCAGAGGTATCCAGTGACCGTAAAATAGGACCCGTCACCTGGGGGTACCCAACTGGGATAGCCGAACTCGGGTTCTGACCCACCTCTGTTAACTAGTTGATGTTGGAACATCACTTGTCCAATGTCCAATTCACTGAACTCACCCAACCAGGCTAAAAACGCTTGGATTAGAACATCCACCTCAAAAAGAAGACGAGCCTTCTCTCACCCAACCTGGCCGGACCTACGGAGAGCCGCTTGAACCAGGACGAGAGGCCGACCAGTGCGCTGAACTGCCAGGAACGCAAGTGGCAATCTCCAAGACCACCTGAAGCATGGAGAGGGTCTCAAAAAACCCAGCCAAGAATGGAGGGTCTCATGGTCCTGTCAGAGAGTCAGAGAGAGGCCGGATGAAGTATATACATGATCCATTGATGTCCATACCGAACAAGTGCTCCAATGTTCTCGGTTATTGAAAGATCATGGTTACGATGGTTATATATGTGGATGGTACAGTCCCGAAGACGACGTTCCTCAAACAGCGGGGGGTTACACTTCCATGTGAGTCAGCGTGAATGAATTAGATTCATGGGAATTGGGCTCAGGATACAGTTGGACCGGAGTGGTTGGGATTCTCCGCAAAATTACTGGGGTTGCAGTAGCTCCACAAATCAGAAAGTATTTCTGTGATTCATTAATGATACGTTTTGCTTTAAGCCATTGAATCGTCTGGCTTTCTAACACACTCACCGCAAACAAACCAGGCCTGCTCGGAAGCTTTAGACTCGCGCTGCAAACAAACCTCGAAGCATTGCATCGCCGTCGGTGTGGAGACCAACGTGACCAACATCCCAATCCATCGTGGGCACGGAGAGGGACTGGTCCGGTCCAAGGAACGCTCCAAATGGCTTCAAGATGGGAGAGATACACGGTGATCATCGAACGAAAAACTGAGGGTGCCTCTTCGACCGCATTCTGTCTTTTCATGGCGGAAGAGGTGAGAAACAGGTCGAATGCAGATGTGGAACAACAGATTCTTAGTGGGTCATTGTCAATTGTGCTTTGACATGCTTTGACCGACTGAACATGTTTGAGAATGTGTGATTCCATGGGTGCTCACCCTCCGGAAACTGCCCTGTGGAAGGATTCAAAATGGGGCTGGTGACCGTCTCAAATTGAGTGACACCGTCTCCCTTCAGTTTCCCAAAGTGAAGGTTTGCGGTATCAAACCTGAAGAACTGTCCTTCTCCATACAGGTGCCGTACAGCAACTCTTCGTCAGTTTCGCGACGGCGAGAACCACCAAAAGCTACAAACAGTGGACTGATGCTCCACCAAACAAACACATGAGTTTCAGTCCTTTCAGTGGCATTTGTTCAATTTGGGTTTCTGAGCCTTGCTATAATATATTGTCGCATGTTGATTTTGTCTAGCCTCACTTTGCAATTGCAAACAGAAAGTCCAGGTTCGTTAGATCCCGAAAAAATGTTGCCGCAAACACCACTGGTATGTGCAGTATTGTGCAGTGTACAGAACATCATACCCAAGACACTCCGTGTATAGCACATTTACGTACATTTACCCACCTTGGGTAGTTCCAGGGGTCAATTTAGGCATACATTCCAGTCTCATGGAGTGTTTGGGTACTGTCCATCCTGCTCCAAAAGCGTATAAAAACCACGTGGCCCAATCACCTTTAACAAAAAAAGAGCGTCCGAAACCGCGTCCAATGGCGCCGGGCGACAGAGCCCTCGTGAGGTACCACCATCTCCGTGTTCTTGTGGCCCGAGCGCACCAGCAGCGCATGGCCCTGAAGAGCAACACCACCCGTGGAGGTGGGGATGTTGGATGTGGGGGGCCTCTTCAAAACACCTTGGTAGCAGGTTCAAAAAAAATAGACAGATGTGATCTAGAAATGTTCAAGCTCCAAGCGGTTCAAACATGATAATATCTTGCCTCATGGTTGTTGAAGCATGACCTCTGAAATGGGGACATTAACCTGAATAGAGACGGACCATTGGGGTGCAGGCTCAAACCTGAGTTGATCATGTCCATCGTAAGTCGCGAAAGAATGCTTGAATGATCACCAAACAAGTTTGGACCAGGCTTTTTTTGCTGAAGATCTATGCAAACATGAATAGATTGAATAGATTGAATTGATTCCTTTTGCTTTTCCTTTCTGGTCTTTCCACTCATGCTGGCCAAATACCGATGCCTTGGCATTCTTCAGCAGGCAGTGCGGATGGATGTGGACTTCCTTGGACTTCACACCCGGGGTGAACCGCAACAGCATGAAATAGACTCCGTTTCACCAATTCCAGGGTATAAGCTGGTCAGCTTTGAAGAAGACTGCAACGATCAAAATGCAACAACTTCAATCGCAACAACTGCAAAAGCAATGGTATCATGAACCGGCAACAGCAACTGCAGCAACATGATCAGGCGAATCATCATGCGGATCAAGCCTTCTTCAAGGTACCAGCTGACAAGAGCAGCGGGAAGGTTTGCTCCAAGAAATAAACGCATCAATCATCAACCTAGCTGTATGAAGCTTAATTGCTGAATTTTGTGTCTTCTGTTGGGAGCTCTGCAGGGGTCAACCCAACATCACAAAGCACATTGAAAGGATTGGCACATGGCTCCACTAGCAAGGGTTTGGGGAACTCCTTGTAGCTCCTTTGCTCCCTCCTGAGCACCGGCTAGCGCTTCATAATCTACTTGATTCTGATACAATGAGATCTTCAGCTATTCACCTACAAACGCTTGTCGGACCAAACATCTCAGAATCATGTCTTAGCCTTGATTCAAGTGGTTTTATCTCCAGCTTAATTTTTTTTTGAGACATAGGCACAATATACTTTAAGAGTTTCAATTTGCATGGAGTGAAATCCCCAAGCATGTCACCACCATACAGCTAGCTGATCCGGCCTTTGTTCATCCCACCCATGCTTTCAGCCAGAAACGCCGCCATGCGTCCCGACTGCCACGCACCACCTTGGTCTGCACCAGGAACTCCTCTCGCACAACTCCCACAAAGGCACTCACGTCGCCATGCGCAGAGCCGGTACCGCCCGCCGGACGCTCCACGCGTAGGGGTGGGGAGTGCTCTTGGACGGTGCCCACGTCGTAGCTGATCCTTGGGGCGGCTAACAACTGAAGCGAGGTTGGGTCAAACTGGATGATCAATGAATTTGATGAGGAAACCGAACCTCAAATGGGTGTCCTTTTTAGACTACCCTACACTACTTAGAGATGTCCATTGGACACCCATTGAATGGTCCAGTATTTCTGATCTTTTCAGGTTGGAGGTCATCGCAATTCCATCGCTAGTAGGTTGGAGGCCATCGCAAGTACATCGCTAGTAGGTTGGAGGCCATTGCTTCTAGCTTGGAAGCTATTAGTTATAGTTTTTGATCTGATCTTTTGACTTGCTTCGCTTTCCCCAAGGGGGTCAAGAACACCTGCGGAAATGACGTACCTTTGGCCGGCTCGGACCGAGGATCTCCTGAGCTCCTAAGCGCAAGCGCAGCTTCAAGGGGCCTTCAGGCTGGAACCAGCCTCAGTGACGGAACGGCTGGAGTCTGAATCCGAAGCCCATGACAAATGGAGACTGAGTGAGATGGGATGAGAGTTCAGTTTTCAGATTGGAAGCTGGTGCTGCAAGTGAAAATGATCAGCCGCAGCCGTTGCACATCCGTCTCCATGAATTCCTTTCCGCCGTGCGTTTAACCTGCAGAGAGTGTCTGCGATTTCAGATGGTCTGCGATTAAAAAAACACATACGCTGTTGGATCGGCTCTCAAGGAATGAATTGCGCCAATGCTGGATCAATCCATTTGACCAAAGAAATATGATGGAAATTGATTCAGTTCAAGCCACGAGATATTGGACAACAGATTACAAAAGAACCTTTGCAAAAAAACAGACTTAGAATTACAGTACGTACTGTAATTACTGTATCTGTGTCTGTTCATTCCTTTTTGTCTCTGCCCTTGTCTCCTTCTCTACTCTGTCTCCACTCTGCCAAATCCATGAAAGGCCACTGATTCTGAAACAGTAATGTATTCTCTTGATGAATAAACCCGCCCAGTTGAATTGGACATCTTCTTTATAAGGGGGTCTTAGTCAAGAGTCTACATTATTCCTTTAGGACTGGATGCTGGCCCATCAATCTCTTCGCGCGGAACCCGCGGGTCGTTGCGTGGCTCGTTCGAAGTCGGCCCAGCGGCAGAAACTCATACGGTGCTCCGGCGCCAACTCGAAGCCCGGCGCCCGGTCGCAGTCCTGTCGAGCCGGGTCCCCACTGTGGTCGCAGTGAAGAGATTGAGGTCTGAAATCAGCCCTCAGCAAGCACGGCTTGTAATGAGTATAGAATGGATCTGGAAGGCATTGTCAAATCCCTGACACTTACAGTAGAGGTATTCCCACAAATGCTTTCACATCTTTCACTGTAAAACCAAATCATACCAAATCCAAACAACCTTTTAACTATACTCACCTCTTGAAGTGCTTCAAGGGCCATCCTTCCCGATCTAGACATTTTTTCTCTCCAGTGGCCCCCCTCCTCCCCCGCGTGTGCACGCTCGGGCGAGTCGGCCGAACCCAAACCGAACAAAGGGTTGATGAAGTGACCTAAGTAGAAGGACCCTACTGGGGTACCTATATAGGATAATAGATCTACATAAGGGTTCTTCAACACTCTGCTGGACACCCTCTTCCCGCGCCCCCGCGCAGGTGGTTACCCGCCTGGCGCAAGCCCAAGCCATGGCCAGTGCGGTTCAGGATGCGGAACTGTGGACGCAAGGGCTCGGAGAAGCGCACGACCTCGGCACTGAAGAGTCGGTGGGAAGACCAAAGGGAGCGAACGCGACGAGGTGTTTCATGTGCGGTCTGAAGGGACAAGGCTTTATCTTTGGAATCTGGTTGAAGGAACTATAACCTGAGGGACCTCTATTTTGGACCACCAAGCACCCCAAATATGGTCTTGTCCTATCAAAACAGAGATCTGAGTTCTAGGATGTTCTAGGTATAAATAATAGAAACATATCTTGTATTTTATTGCCCATCCATTTTACGCCGCCACCACCCAAGCTCCATCGCGGTCACGAAACCACTGAGCTCTGCTCCACCAGTGTGTCCACCTGGGTGAGACACCACGCCCAGCCGATGCCGCTAGGCGCAGGCAGCGGCTCCGGACGTAGTGGCTCCGCGCGCGCCAGCGAGGAGGAGGCGGAGAGCGCGTGAGCACTCCAGTGGGATAAGTCGCCTGGGATTTGCTGTCTATAGGAACCGGGAAAGGACTCTTCATCCCAGAAGGGGATTCACCCATATTCTTCCATGTCCAGTAGAGCAGTACTGCTCGTGTCATCTTGCAAGATTCACTCATCAGCCTTCCTTCACATCACTTCAAGCAAAACGATCGGTGCACGAGCAGACTATCGTAGAGGTCTGGACTGTCCACAGGAGAGTCTGTCTTTCTTTCCAACGAAGACACTTGGACGGACTGAGGACTGGGTCCGGAGCTTTTTCCGGCGGGAGCGGTAGTAGTAGGTACACCCCAATTGAGTTGGAAGACGTCACACTGGGGAATGTTGAAGACGTCACTGTGTGCAGACTGGTTGAAGACAGGTCTTGTCAGTGGATAGATGGACGCCAAGTCGTTTGAAAGATTGATTCATAAAGCCCTTCTGGATTTGAGCTGTGGCTAGGGAAACGTGTGAATAGAATGTGGGCAGCATGCAAGGTCTTTCGGACATCCTGCACTATTCGACATACTTCACGCAGTACGTGAGCAGGGCTTTTGCAAGCCTGATCAAACCCGTTTTGTGCTCTGCCGCATCGATACGTGCCAACGCCACGAAGGAGAACACACCCCACATCGATGAGGGAAACCATTCATGGTATCTGCCGAACTCAGGAAACATGTTCAATGACACACCACATGAGTTCATAATTTTCTCCTCATGTGTGTGCAGTCTTACCCTGCCACAGCCCGGGCCTAGAGTGGCTGGAGGCAGCTGGAACAGCGAAGTAGCACCCTCATCACTGATTGAAACGATCATTGAGATCTATCCATATCCAAACACAAGACACGTCCCCTGTTCACCAAGAGGAGTCCGAGTCCAGGCGGCATAAATGCATCAGCTGGAAACTTCTCCTCGTCAAGCGAGGGAGGTGAGGCAGCTATGAGAAGGACCACGTAAAGGCCACGTGAAGGAGGTTTTAGGCGGCTGAAAAGATATTGGCCAGCCTGGCCAGGTTCTTTTGGATCACCCAGTTTGATTGGATGTCTCATCGCATAATCTAGTGAGTGTTTTTATACTATATAGCACACAAAGCTCAAGACTGCGTAGCAGATCTGTCTGTTCGGAAAGAAGAGCAAACATTCCTTGCCTGCCCAACCGTAACAATGGCATTGCTCTGATTCAGCACAGAATCCTATACAGTAATTGTATCTACATATTGACCGTCCAGAAAGCCAGCACCCCCTTTTCTTCTGATGATTTCCAAGGCCCAACTGTTCAACTCCCTAGCATTGACGGGCCAAGTCCAGCAACTCCAGCAACTTGCCCAACCTCTCGATCTCTCGTAGCGACGAGTGCAGTGACGAGTGCTGCCTACTTAGAAACTTCAACCCACTAGGAATGTGCTACAAAACCGCCGCTCCAGGCAACCCAACATGATATACCACACGCGGATACGCGGTATATCTCTGGTGCACAATTCGCACAGTCCTGCTGCTTTCGAGCACGAAGGGCGCGGAGGAGAAGTCTTGTTGCTCAGTGTCTTCACAACGTCCAAGCTCTACATCAGCTTCTCCTCAAAAACCAATCGAGCTGTCTTCACCAGCGGCCAATCTGGGATTCTTCAGTTCTGACCCTAGTCGTTCACCCGAAAAGCGAGGATCAGTTCAATCCAGCGCAGTGATCCGCCATCGCCGGCCTTCAGAAAATGACCGCGTTGAAAGGACCATGTCAGGTTGCCGGTCTTCCGACCTTTCCCAGGAAGCACCCCATGCAACTGGGAAGGAAGCGCTGGCACGTTCCCGACCCGTCCAAAGTTCTTGGGAGTTTAAATGAGCCAGTTCCCGGCCCCTCGTTCGTTCGACCAAAGCACCTCCACAGCGTGCCCCCCCCCCAGGCTGCAACCCAGCAGCCCTCCGACCAGTTCTCGGTCGCCCAGGTCACGCTGCGCCGGCCAGGCGGATCACGGCCGTGCTCGCGGCGGTCAGGAGGCACGGTGCTCGCACGAGGCCTCGATCTGGCAAAGCCTGACCTAGAGATCAAACCGTTGCTTGCTGGGACCGGTCTAGAAGCATCGATAATCGAAAAAAATAAATACCAAATATAACATCGTATACATGTATGCTTCAAGTTGGGTCTTCAAATTCCATTCTTCCCCTCTTTCACCCCCAAAACAAAAACACGTTCTTTGCAATCTTGAAAACATGGACGAAACACACAAATCCAATCAATCAACATCCGATGGGAACAAAAGAAACGTTAAAACATAAAAACACATCGCCTCCGATCCATGACCTCCCCCTGACTCATCCCTCGCCCCGCCTTCGCTCGAGCAGCTCGAGCATGGCCGACTGCGGCGCCACACCGCTGATGGCGACGGCGCGCGGCCCGGAGCGCTGGGGGTCGAAAGCAGCGGAGCCGTTGGCGCTCAGGGCCACGAAGGAGGTCGAAGTGTCCTTCTCGAAGCAGTAGAGCACGTGCTCCTGGGGGTGTATTTGGTGCAACATAGCAGCAGGTATAGCGAAGAAACCGCCCTGAGTTCTTTCGCTCAGCCCGTTCTGGGACAATGCTCAGATTTGGGCACCCCTGCATCCCCTGCCCACAAAAAAGAGACAGAACATGAAAATGCCACCTGTGCAACACCGCTGCTCCGCTCCTTGTGGTTCAAGAGCGTATATCTTCGCACGACCTCCACCAGCAGCGTCCGGTGAAAGGGCAAGGGCGCTGGTCGGACCGTGTACCCGAAGCAGCGCTGCACCGGATTGAAGGCCGAACGGGGCGCTGTGGCAGAGCCAGCCTTAGTCCGGTCAAAACAAACCGTAGTACCGTAATGCACAACCCCCCCCGGCACTGGGCCTGTGGTGGTTTTTAGGTGTTTTTTGTTGGATCTTCCAGTTATTCCCATGTAATTTCTTGGATCTTCTGGAAGGTTTGAACAAAAATCATCCAGGTGAAGGTCCACTCAAGACATCTTCCAGGATGATGAGGATGTAGGTTCACTCTTCCGTTTTGATCGTCACATGGAGAAGGTTTTTTGGGGAAACCAGGCGAGATGTGGCGCCTGGTCCACCTGGTGTCTTGTCACGGCTGCTTCTGAGCGCCCAGCTGTAGGTTGATTGATCCTGCCGAACCCGCATGTTCAGACTTCCGACCGTGCGGGAAGAAACACCATGGTTTGGCGGATTTTTTGTTGGTTTGGTTTGGTGTGAAAGACGGTGAAAACATCTAAATACCCTCTTCACTCAAAAAAACATATTCATGCCTTTGAATCAACTTCCTTCCGGTCCGACTCTTCCTCGCTCCGCGGATGACCACGGATGACCACCCCATCCGCGGTCCTGATGGGCTCGGTGACGGGGACCAAGGACTCGCCATTGGCGTTGTAGCGCTGGTCGCACAAGCCCACACGGATCTTCCCCCGCCTCCGCGTGCGATCCGGCCGGATCGGGAGAGGACATCGGGTGATGGCATGGCCCAAAGGAGTGACACAAATGACCTCTGTTTTGACAGGAAGTTGAACCAGGACCATTTTTGGGGGTGCTTGGTGATCCAAAATAGAGGTGACTGAATTAAGTTCTAAGTATAGCTGGCCTCCGAACGAACCAAGAATTCTGGAGAACACACTTCGACTGTACTTACTTGGGCCCACGACTTTTGGTGGAGCGGGGCACCCCATCGAGGACCCCCCAGGGACCGACAGCCGACAGCCGAAGGCCCTGCCTGACCAAGCTCTCAGACACCATGCGCAAAGTATTGCAGTCATACTGCATCCTTGGGTGGCTGGTTTCGTGAAAAGACCCTGGTGTTGTTAGTATTGCTCTGTGAGTCAAAACCTGGAGCCCAGCTAATCCTGGTGAGGTTAGTAGTGGCTGTTTTCTTTTTTCTGTAGTTGTTGCAGGTTCATTTGGGTTCCTACTCCTACCACACCCGCTCATCGTAAGGGATGCGGAAGCGACGAACTCTCCGTCCGCAAGAGCGTTTGCTTCGGGTGACCCTGGGAGATTGACCATGCCTGGTAATCTATTCGGTTCATGTTCGGTGGGAAAAAAGACGGTCAACCAACCCGGGCGGAGCTTCCTGCAAATTCTCGAATTCGAGGTCGCTTCCTTATGCTTCCTTCCTCCCCAGACCATCCATCGGCATCTCTTTGCCATTGGAGGTGATTTTGGTGGCCCATTCTTGCTCCTAGTAGATGTCCTTTGCTCCTATAGTAGCTTCTTGCTCCTAGCTCCTAGTAGCGATGTCCTTTGCTCCTTTTGTAGCTTCTTGCTCCTAGTAGTAGTAAGCCCAAGAGCCCCCGAGCTTGTAGCGTTCCTGTCACTGCGGGGCGGCATCTAGTCTCGGCACATCGCTTTCCGTTCCTCCGGGCCAACACCAACACCGTTGGACTGGTGTGGTCCTGCCGGTGACTGTCAACACCAAACGGCCAGAAGATGCGACATGTTATCAATTGACCACTTTTTTCGACTCGACACGCCAGGTGGTGTCTAACCCACTTGGTGATTCTTTCACCCACTTCTGCCCAGCTCTACCGAGTCGCAATGCGAGCCGCTTCGAGCTGTCGACGCTCCCGGCCGGCCGGCGGCTGGCAAACTTGGCGACACCTGCAGGTGCAGCGGCAAAGGTGTCATGGCTTGGGTCGTGGGTGTCCCCAAGATGGAGTGGTCGAGGGAATGCTCAGCAAACCCACTGAGTTACTAGGGGTGAAAACGTGTATCGTATATATTAATATGTTTCCTCAAACCAATCCAAGCACCCCACAAACGGGTACAGCCTTGGTTACACACCTTTTCCAAGGGAGAAGGATCACCACAAGGGCGTCTGGCACTCATGACTCATCAGTCAAGTTTCTGTGAAGGACACTCATCAGTCATCTGCAATCAATTCATCACTCCTTTTTTTTTTGCAAGTCCTACCAACAGAGGTTGAAGAACCCTAGTTCGGCTATCCCATAGGTACCCTGGTAGGGTCCTATCAGGTCACTTAACCTCTGTTGGTAATTCAGCAGCTACTCACCAGTAAGCCTGTGGCACGAGTGGCTCCCAGTTCCGGCTGCGGCAAGCATACACGGCAGTCGCTGCGGCGGTTCAAGAGCCAATACCTCAGGCGGAGAATTCGGCTGCATGCGGTCAAAGCATAACTGACGCAACTGTGGATGTGTCTTTGTACCCCTTTATCCAACAAAAGTGATGGAATAAACCGTGGAAGAGTTCAAAATCTGTCCGTTTATTAATTGATATGTTCCAGCTTGATTGAAGAATTGGGCCTTTTCCATTGGGATTCAGCAATCGGATAGAGTTCCTTGAAAAACGGGTTGCTCCCTGCCTGACCATATGACTCAAGCATGTTCCAAAACCTCCTCATGAAGGGAGGCGGTTTCCCAGATCATGACCCTCCCAAAGTCTCTAGACATAAAGTGGTTGTATGAAAGCCTGGCAGTGTCAAGTGGATATCATATCGTTTCCAGCTGTGAAAAACACTACATTATATCATAATATCTGAATATATATACAGTCAGCTGTTGATGTGCCACGGGGGGTCGTCATATGCAATTGTCATAAAGAGCTTGTTGGCTTTCCCGCCCTTCAGCGCCCATGAGCGCTGAGCGAGCCACTGGGTAAAGAAGACCAAGCGCAAGGATCTAGGAGAGTACCTTGGTCCATGAGAGCTTGGACAGGAGAGCTCCGGGGCCGGCCAGGGAAAATCACCTATCGCAAAGGTATCACCAAAGAGTCCCCAAAGATAACATGGTCTTTTTCGTGGGCATCCGAGCTGGATCCCAAGATCACGATATATGACATGTAAGAACATTGTTTTGACAATATTAATAACTTGTTTTGACATTGTTAATGTATCTCCATGCACCTCTCAACTGTAAAACACACATATATTGATGGGATTGGAGTCCATGAAGGAGGAGACGTTGGAGGAGAACCTGGAACAAAGCCACCTCCTTTGCCAGATTTGCCAGAACATCTTTGCCCTTCACATCTTCATTGCTATCATGTTGTTCCCCCAAGGCAATGATGCTCAAAAGAGAGGCACGTGATTTGTTGATGGGCTGATTCTTCCCGATAGGTTTGAAGTCTATCCCAAAAATTCCAAGAATCGACACCTTGGACTTTGATGCTCATGCCATCTGCCAATAAACAATTATATCATATTGTATATACTGTCCGTATGCAAGTGGAATACTAACCTTTCAACTCTTCAAACATGGAAAGTCGTGGAAACTTAGTCCCTCCAGCAGGGGGGGGCGCCTCGAATTCGAGATGCACGACATTGCACGACCCTCCATGAACGGTTGCAGGAGCGTCAGCAAGAATTTTTGCTAAATCAATCCAGGGACCATTCATAGAAAACATCGACATGAGCTATTGGCAAAGAACACCTAGGATGTAAAATGATTTAAGCCATGTTCAAGAGAGTTCTCCTATTACAGTATGGATTTGGGGCTATCTCATGTGCATCCCCATCAACAACCTCATGCCGCAGATCCTCCCAACAACAAACCCGAGTCGACTTCTGCTCCCTGGGAGGTCAAAGGAGTGTTGGTGTCCCCCTCCAGTCTCTCCATGCTTCCAAACCTACCTAGGTTACCTACACTCCCTGGAACTAAAATGGAAGTAGAAAACCTGCCTGCCTTGTAGAGGGAAAATGGTCATCCAGTTGGAGGCCATGCCATCCACGTAACCATGGTTCGTTCCGTGCGATAAGTGTACACTCTGTGTACACTCTGACTCACTAACATGGACATAGAACATGGTCCCTTGGAAGACTACTTTCCTTTACAAACTGGTGGGTTTTCCACTTCCATGTGATGTGTTCGTCGGAGTGTAGACGCCACGGCATATCCGCCACGGCTATGCAATGGCCGCCTGTGGGTCAAAACCTGGAGCCTGGAAACCCTTGTGTGCCATTTTGTTCGATCAGCCAACTTGGAAAAATGGATTGGATATGATTGGAATCGGATTTTGGGTACCCGGGTTCTTGACACACCCATGAAACATGGATCATGCTCCGGCACAGCCGGAGAAGAAGGTGGTCTATCGTCTCTGTCGAGCCGCCAAGAGGTGAAACAAAGACGTCCGTCTCTGTATAGTCCAAAGACCCAGAGACCCTTTTGACCCAAAACTTGACCTCCTTGAACCTCCTTGAACCTCCTTGAATCGTGTTTTTTTGAACCTCCCTTGACCTCCTTGAACCTCCTTGACCCAAAACTTGGTCCCTTCAACTCCGGTTAAAACCGAGGTCAGGTCCTGACCTGTCGTGTCCCGAGATCAACCTCCGAGAGTCTGACGAACCTGTAGAGGTGACCAATATTCCTGGGCAGAATCGCCAGGGAGTCGGGGTGGTTTTCTGATTCTGACCCGCGGATCTGGGAGCTACTATGAGCTACTGAGCTACTGTATGTGTTAGCTTATGTTTGGGAACCACATGATTCAATGACCATGTTTAAAAACGTTTGGGAGGCGCCATGACCGACCTTCATAGACCGACCTGAAGGACCTCCCTTAAGTAGTCATATGTCTGGCCCGGTCGACTCGAGGTCTTTGCACAGGGTGTGTTTTTTCTCCGTGAAGGAAGAGGACTGGATGAACACCAGAAAACAAGCAAACACAGAAATACCATTGATATCATGTTGAAAGAGGTACTTTTTGCTAGCATCTAGCGTACTGCCCCAAAATTTACTGGAGTTCAAGAAACTCAATGGACATGGCAACACACAACACAAACATCTGCGGCCGGAACTCTGTGCCAACCATCAGACCTCTCAAGAGAAGCATCCTGTCTGGCTGTCCTTTCTGGACTACCCTGCACTACAATCCGGGATCTCCACTGGACACCCAAACAGGATGGTTCGGGTATATAATACATTATACCCTAGGGATCCACATACCTTCTCAGGAGGTACGACTGGGCCCGAAACTGGCGCCGACATAAATAGTCTCCGTCCTCACCGTACCTGAGGTTCGCTACGACTGGATCCCTAGGGATACAGTGCACGTGGTTGGGAGGTCTCCCAAAAATTACACAGCCCATGGAAAGTCCCATGGAACTAACATGGTTACGTGGATGGCACCACCTGTTTGTAGTGGATTTCATGGTCTTCCAAGGGGCCATTTTCCACTTCCATGTTAGTTCTAGGGAGTGTGTACTTGCTGGGAAAAAAGAGCACACACACACACATCTCCACGCTGAAACGCTGTGTTTCAGCCTGCGAACGCCTGCAAGCCTGTTGAACCGTGTGAAATCACAGAGCTTCGGGGGGACCAAAGTGCTTTGGTTTGAACACCAGTTTGTCTGCTGAAAGAAGAATCATGGAGGACGCCAAGCAGAAGTGAAATGAACCCTGCAAACCACCAACCCCTCTGGGTCTGGTATGGTCTAATTATGTGCAACATGTTCTTATTTCTGGGACTTGGGCGAAGCCAAAATTCATCGCCAAACTTCTTATAGGACCCACCATGAGTCACCGGTCGCCACCCCGGACTTAACGGTCGAAGTGGCTGACATGGTCAAGCCTGGTTCCGTCTCCAGCGACACCATGAGCTTAGCGATCTGGTCGGCCTCCGAAGAAAAGGGTCCAACAAGGTCTAGCGCCTCCTCTATATGCATTTGGAAGTGTAGATGATAATCTGATAAGTGCAAATATTGGGTCTATATAGAATCAAGAACCTACAAACAACGTTCTGAACAAGGACCTCGGCCTCTATATATGTTCAGGTATGATTGCACTGGAAGAAGCTTGCGTGAAACCTGCATGAAACCTTCACCGCATGGTCAACTGGGGAAAATGGACATGGTCCGTTGTACCACGCACAAAAGAAGAGCTTGGGTTTTGCATGGTTTTGCACAGCTTAGTGGTCAATCTCCTTGGTCAACCAACACGTTTGGAGCGGGCTCCGGTCGTACCTCCTCAGGTTCGGTGGTATTGGCCCCCCTGTGGCACCCACCCCAGTCCCATCTTCGAAACGGAGGTAGGACTGGAGCCGGATAGATCTCATCACCTTCCCAACTCATGGTACATCTCAGAACCACCAACTCTCCAATCCCGAAGCATCTTCGGCGATGTTCTTCACCAAGTCCACAATCGCTCAGGTCGCTCGGGTCGTCGAGACACGGTCAGTCCACGGTGTGGAACCACTGTTTCGTCGCCAGTGTTAGGGCAGTTCAGGTCGGGTCACCGATGGTTCCAAAGGCAAACACCAGTGGACTGACTGTTGCACCTCTGGGCTCTTGAATGCCTGGGATCCGCTGAATCTATGGGTCTCTATCTAAAGCCAAATAATGTCGACATGGCTGGATGATGTTGGATGTGCCGAAAAGAAGCGATGGGAGGATCAACCAACAGATAGTGTGACAGGCTCATGTCTTCCTCAAGGCTGGCTAATCCCACCAAAGAAAGTCAAACAAGCAGGCATGGCATAAAATGGTTGACCTGGTGTTGCAGTCTAACATCCTCAAGAAAGCGAACCATTGTTTTTGTTTGTTCGGTACTGTAAAACCATGCATTGAACAAGTAAACACAACATAAACAAACCAACAATCACAACATTCCGGTGAGCCACACTTCAAAAGGCTCTCAGCCACAAAACCTTTCTGGAATGGATTCTCTGGTACCCCCAGGACAAGATCCGCGTGGAACCCAGACCTCGCACGTGGAACCCCGCTCGCGCGACTGGCACCTCTTTGCCCTGAACATTCACCTGAACGGGTCGTTCACCCGTTCCGACGCGGCACGTGGCGCCTCCGCAGTTGAGGGACCTCTTAGTAGTGAGGGTTCTCCCATGACCGATCACACCATTTTTGCTGGGGAAAATAGAGGGTTAACCTTCTTTCCACTCATGTTGGATTTGAGTGGTGAACAATCCCCCCTTATAAAGCTCTTTGCAGTTTACACTTTTTCTAGCGGCTAGTGCTGCTACGGTCTTCCGGAGACCACACCAACTTTAGTACCCGTCAAGGCGTAAACGCCTGAGTCAATCGACCTCCGAGTGCGGCGTTTCTCAAACTCGTGATCCTTCCTTCTCAGTGGATCCTCCGGGGGATCCGAAGGCGTCCCAGAGCAACATCGTGAACGAACGCGACGCGGATCGCGAAGCAAACGGATGAGATGAACTGTTGACCTCACTCATATTGCTGAAGTGCCTGTGGGATCTGCGAGAAGGGGCCAAAGTCCATCTGAGCGGAAAAAAGTAAAACCACATCTGAGTCCTCTGAGTTGAAAAAGGGGGGATTCATGATGTGTCTGGATGAGTTTGTACTGTGGATGAGTTTGAACCCGACATAAGATCGGACACATCATTCACACATGCCTCTACATATGGACATACAATATGTATACAATATATCATACAACTGGCCACTCCCCAGCTGAGGTGACTGTTTTCGATGTTCACGCAGCATTGCTCAGTACGACGCAGCATTTCGAACTTCTCAGTGAGTTGTTCGGATGCTTCGCCTCTGAGAAGTGCAAGCGCTTCTGATGCTTCTCCCGTGGAAGTCGATCGGCCCACAGGGGCGTCTCCAGGTGGAGAGTCAAAGGCTCTTCGTCCACAGCACCTGAAGTCTGGTCCAGCAGCGCGGCCGGTGAGACGGACGGGCCGGCTCGCCGGGCTCTTGGGCCCTGAAAAGGTGGAGCTTTCTCCGTGGGGAAACCAATCCCCCCAAGAGGTTTTGCAGGTGATTGACTGGTAAACGGTTTGGGAGGAGTTCGGCACTGCTTCCTTCCAGAAGTCCGGTTGGAGCATTTGGGCATATCTGGGCATATATGGGCATATCACCCATACTAACTCTAGGATCCAAACCACGAAGGACTTGGCTAGTCGGAATGAGTGGTTCCAAAGACCTTAAAAGTAGACCAACTGAAACTCTGAGTTCTTACTTAGTGGTAACTGGGATCCACTACATATTAACCTCTACTTTCTGGAGAGCATTTCGTGTGCGTCGAACCGCCACAATCGCGATCCTAAACAATGTGCTCTTTATGTTCCTTCTTTTGCTTCTCCCATTTCCCTTGGCAAAGGAAAGCAACATTGAGACCATGCATGCTGCCCCTCAGCCCTGCCCCTCGGCCTGTGCAGGGTGCGACCTCCAAAGTGATATGCAACTGCGAGGGTTTCACCTAGGCTCCGAGCACCAACGGGTCCAACGGGTCCAACTCGTGAACGTCCGGGAATGACAAGTCAGATGGGTTGCATCGAGGTTGTACCTGGACCCTCCTGTCGGGGTGTCCTGGCTGGACTACCCCACACTACCTATGTCTTGTTTGTTTCGTCTATTCAGTCAATTTACACCATTGAACCTCCAAGGCTTTGGCCGTCCCACACGCATTTTAAACAGAGAAAAGAGATGAGTCTGGCCCGGCCTAACGCTTTATATTATTTTTTTGTTTAAAGGTATTTTGTTCTATACCTCGAATAGGCCGATTGCTCTGGCACGGGCCACCATATACAGTACATATGAAAAGTGGTATAAATAGAAATATGTGTCATGTTCTGAATCTTCAAGAGATTGCAAAGCTGTGTTCTTGGGGAGTTCTTCACCACCCGCTTGGACCTGGGGATCAAGGTCCAGCAGCGTTTCTCCACTTCGGTAGGATGAGCCCTCGTTTCTCCCACCCCTCATCTGCACGCGGCGATGTCCACATCTTCCCCAGGTGGAATCACCAAAGGCCCATCCAGGCTGGCCAGCCTCATAGAAGTGCAAACGAGAAGGGGACAGGTCCTGGTTGGATGTTGCATTTTTGTCCAGCACATGTTTGAGACTTTTGGCAGGGAGTGTCTTAGAAGCATCAGGAGCCAACAAGAATCAAGATCAATGTTGTTCAGCTGCTTTGGGGGGAGGTTTTTTGTACGCAGAGCAGACCCCCAGAAATGAGGTTGAGACACTCTGGAATGCATGATTTCAATTGATATATTGAAGACCTCTACCCACCAGTCCAAAAGCTGAAGGATATTAGCTCCCACCTCACAGGGGCATCAATTTCCCCGGAGTACTCCAGGGAGCAAACGGACAAAACCACGAAAGAAGCCATGACAGAACCAGTATAAAGCCCAATCCATCCATAACTTCTGTAAATGACAGCCTTCATACCATGTCGACCACCAAATGTTGCATGGACCCTGACGAATCTCTGGGCGTCTTACCAACTACCACTACCTCACGACCTCCCACAAATCCACATGACATGTGTACTTTAAATCTGGGAGACCCCCTCGGTACCCCTGGCTGGGTCTATTTCCCGAACCTTCCCAGAGGGTTCGTGCCTGGGAAGTCTCCCTACTTTAATAGTTTTGAGTGCACACCCACATGCAACCCCCCCAACAGGAACATGGTTGATAGACTCTGAATCCGACAAAGAACAAGAAAAAACAGTACTATATAGTTACTATATAGTTGTCAAGACACTGTTCGTTTAAATTTTTGGGGCTCCCTCCGTCCTGCCCAAGTGGAAAACACTTTAAGACACTTTGGCACCACTTCAGGTAAGGACCCATATCCTATATGTAATGTATATATAGTGTATATATATATACCCTGGGAGTCAAAGACAATTTTGTTTAAACACATATATATATAATCTTTAGGGTGACCCGAAAAGGAATTTACTTTACTTCAGTCAGTCAAAATATAGTCTTTGGACTTCTAGGGTATATACATATCGCTTACCTATACTAGGGGCTAATGACACAGGCTAAAGCTGGGCTGTGACATAGTAGCTGTGCTGCACAATGTCTAAGTCATCAGCCATCAGTCAATAGTTAAGGTTGCCAAATGCAGTACACAGCAGGATGACATAGGAGTGAGTTGTGGATGTTCTGCCAGTATAGTGCCATATATAGAAATAACGATCCATTATAATCCATGACAGGTGAACGCTCTAATACCTCCTGAAATCAAGAAATCTTGAACGTTTACGCGTGTGTGTGACGATATACGAGTTGTATGATATTTCCTGACAGCATAGGATATTGATTCTCGCCTGCAGTATAAATAACAAAACACATAACAGCTACTCAGGGCCCTGGGGATTCTCCATCCGCATGCAAAGACCATGAAGACTCGGACATTGAGCATAGAAGTTCCAATCTGTGCGAAAACCATCGAGGTTCGCCCATGACCCCAGCAGAGGTTGAAGAAGCCTATAGACTATCCTACTAATTATAGGTACCGCTGTAGGGTCCTATAAGGTCACTTGACCTCTGTTGGTCAAACAACCCCAGGAAGTGGAATCCAATTTTTCGCCCAACCCCCGAGTGGTCCCCAAGTGCCCTCATGCATCCTCTACCAGGCTATACCCACCCCAAACAAAAACGGAACAGGGCGCCGTTTGGGAGATGTTTTGGGGGTGCCAAAACCACGAACACCACCGGTTCTTTGGCGTGCCAAAACCACGGGTGCTTTTCTCAAACCAAACAAGAACGAACACCGAGAGAGAGACCAAACCGCTCCGAATGAGCTCCGCCGTCTCTCTTGCCAAACGGGCCGCGTCATGGGGCACGGGAGGCGATTGCAAATCTGCGCCGCCGGCTCCAGAGCGACCGAGAAGATCAAGGCCTGGGAGCAAAGGTCGATCTCTGCCCAGGGAAATTCAAAACGTCTGGGTGTGTGGTTGTGGAATATTGTGGGTGGGTGTGTTCCGACTTCTTTCATGTGGTTTACTATATAGTGTTTCTTGGTCTTGTCTTTCTTTTAGACTCAGTCGAGCTTTCTTTCTTGGACTTCTTCATCCTTCTTGGACCCTTTCGAAGCCTTGGACCACCCATTCCACCACGGAATCCCCGTGTTTTGGCACCACCTCCGCCCATTCCGCCCGAATGCAACCCCCACGGTCCGACCGTCCCAACAACACCGCCACTTAGGACCGTCCGTCCGGATGGCGCCGGCAGCGCACCTGCAAGGACGCTTGCAGATCGGCACTCACGCCACAAACCGTGGCGCACAAGGAGGCGCAGCTCTCCCCCATGCGGTCGGACAAGTGCAGCATCCTGGTGACTGCGATTCGGAATTGGACGTTGGAGGGTATAGGGATATCTTATTTATGTGCTGCATATATGTTATATATATTACTTTTTGTTTGAGTGCTAAAAGGATCTACATGGTACCTTATATGTGGTTGGATCAGGAGGTACCATCTATTTCAGAGGCATAGAGCTTTGGACCTCTTTGGACGATGGCTTTTCAAGGGCCGAGACCATGAGCATTCCAACCCCTTCAGCTCCCACTGGTCCAGCGGACATCTAATGGGATGATGGTGCCAGCACCTCCGTCAGTGCACCCTTTCAGTCTGGAGTTTTCCCTTTCCAATCGTTCCCATAGTCCATCGGCCGGGGATGGACCGGGAGGCCGAATCTTTGGAACAATACGCGACCTGTCTGGGACTGCTGCAATCCTATGGCCGCCCCATGACTGGTGGCTTTGGATGGTTTTCATGGGGCGGCCATCTTGGCCTACATGAGTGTTTTAGGGAACCGGTCTCTCCCCACATCATCCAATGGACATGTAGATCGGGATCCCGCAGCCGTACCGAACACGGGTGGTTTTCAATAGACCCCTCAAAAAGAACCTCTACGAAGCTACTAAGAGACACCCCAAACGGCAAAACCTGGTAAAGATGTTTAAAGTTTACTCAACAACTGCAAATTCCACAACGCATCTCATTAAACTTATGGGCTTGTCAAGCCTGAACAACAAAATTGCATATTTGAATTTGTAAAGAACACACATCCTGCACCACCGACATATTGATTTATCACATTCAGGAGACCCGCTATCACATGAACAGGGCAACCTGAAGTTCTCTATAGACTGTCTATTTGCACAAGAACGCACAAGCAGCTAGCTCCTGTAGGTTGTAGGTCCTCTTTTTAAATGCCTTCTTCCCCCGGCGTGCTTCGCGTTCTTCTCGCGTTCGTTCCCTCGCCTCGAGCGCAAGAAATAGTCGTTGGCCACCATGCTCCGGTACCGGCGGATGGCCTGCCACGTGGTCTTCCCAATCCTTGGGACGTTCGGCACGAAGGAAGCAGACACCCTGCGGTCGCTTCGCCTGTGGTCGGTCGGTCTCTTGAGTCCGGCAGAGCTTGGAGCCAGCAGTGGACGACCTGGTCCTCCGCCCTGGAGCCTAGCCTGCTTTTCTTGAACACATTCTTATGGTGTTATGACCGGAGCAAAGGACGAAGGCCACAAGGCTCCTGTTGCCGCACCCCGTTCATGCTCTGCCAAGACACCGGAGGAATGGTGTGCCATCGAAAACACATGTGAAGATGTATACCTGGACCCTCTAAGCATCGGTGTATCCTGGTTACAGGTGCCCAAGCACCTGTCGACGTTAGGGTTCCAATTGGTTCTAAGATGTTCCAAGAACGATCTGTTGGAAGGTTGTTTTGTTTGGGAATCAAAGGTGTCCAAAGAAGCATCTGTCGTCGTCGCATCCCAACAGAGGTTGAAGAACCCGAACTAGGCTATCCCAGTTGGGTACCCTGGTAGGGTCCTATAAGGTAACTAACATAGGTAACCTCTGTTAACATAGGTAACATAGGTACACTGGCTACGGGTCCCTGGGTTGAAGAACCCATAGGTAACCTCTGTTGGTCCTCCCTTTCAATCCCTTCCTCTGAGCGTCATGGGCTGTAGTATGCCACGCCGACGTTGGGCCCTCATCCAGCCTTTCTCGAAACGGAGAAAGCAAGCACCGGCCTTTAAAGGAAGGAACGCCCAGCCTTGAGGTGGCCTGGGGATGGAATCACTCCACCCCAAAACTACTCACGATATCATGTAGGCATATGTAGGCCACAGGACTGCAGTCCGGAGCCTCATCATGCGGCCTCATCCAGTTTCAACTGGAGAGTGCCGGAGTTGTGGTCCATCCCAACAAGATGTCCACAGTCCAACATAGTCCAACAGTCCATGTGGAATTTGTTTTGTTGACCCTAGTTTGGGGCGAGGGCGGGTGCTTCCAAATGTTTGAACCATACGATACCATAGTCGTGTTGCAGGCGCAAAAAGTTGGTAGCCCAGATGCCCCCCCAATAGGAATCAGGGGTGGAACTCAACCTTGGCAAGTCTCACCAAATAGGGAGACGCTGACTGACCAGTGGTCTTTGGCAACTTGCAAGTGTTGCTGGTGTCCATCCCAAACACTCCATGTCTGGTATATCTACACCTACATTTGATTGAATGGCAATTCTTCCAGTCCCTTGAAGCCTTTGGTGTTGCTCTCCTCCCCACATTGGGCCCCACATCCTACAGAACCACGCTCCACGGTCCACCTGGAGCTACCGGATGAACCCTCTCGCTCGGTACCGTGCCGCCCCGGCCTCGCTTGTCAGGGTCGGTGTTCCCCGAGAGCACGGCGCCAAAGGACAAGGAGCTACCCGAGCTGTTCAGCGAGGGCATCTGGCGCATTGGCAACATGTAGCGGGTGGCATGCTGGAACTTCCCACAAGCGAGTAAAGGAACCAACGATTCGGGTGAGGCCGGACGTGGGAGGTTCCACTGGAAGATTGTCATGTGTTTTTTGGATTTACATGGACCTGGTCATAGAGGTGAACTGGGGTGAACTGGTGGCCAGGAATCCCAATAATTAGGGAATTCAATTGGGAGGTGGGCAGCCTATGGCAGCTTCTTTGAGAGTGATTGGATGCTTGTTGGGGTGCTTTCCAACTTCTGCCAGATTTCTGCAAAAAATCCAGGAATCTCCTTGGTCAACGAGTTCAGGGTCTTTCTTCGCCGTTCACCCCTATGGATGACTGGAGCCTCTTCTTTCCCGATCCACACCCCAAAACCTCGGACGTCACGACGCCTTCAGCTCTTCAGTGACTCCCAGCCAAAGGGAGGAGTGCGCCAGCCATGCCAGGGGGATGGGCTGCGGCTCCTAGGAGCCGCACCATTTTCGGGAAGTCTGACAACCCCACAGCCAGGTTGGATACAGCAGACGCTGAATTCTTTTCAAGCAGGGGTGGAAGCCACCTAAGGACCTAAGTCCAACCTTGTTTGTGCATGATTAAGGCCTTATGCCTTGGATGCCTTATGCCTCGGGTTGAGAATGCACAAAAAGGATCGAACAGTGGGAAGTCTCAGTCGACCGAGCCAATGAAACCCAACAAAAAACGAAGCAAACCAATCAATCAGCAGCGAACCAAAGACATCCAAACAAACAAACAAACCCGTTCATCTAGTAAGTCAGCAAACCCAGGAACCCACACACACACATCCACCACATCAATGATTGGCTGTTGATGATATCATGTTCGCAAGCCCCAACCTCATTTCCCACATGAAGGTGCTATTTGAAAGACTCCTGGTCCCACGGATCTCCGTCCCACGGATCACCGAAACCACCTTCGTCATCGGTTTGTTCGAGGTAAGGGTGGTCAGACACAGGTCAGGGTGCTCCGTCTATGGATGTCTTCCGAAGTTCTTGATGACCCAATACTGTACATGGCATAGATGTCATCCATGTCATCCATATATGACCATACCATCACCAGGATCCAATAGACTGACCATCCTTGAGTGTCAACGTACCTAGTCAATATGGGTACAGGATGGTAGGATGGTACCTGGTGCAGCTTCTTGTTCATCATGTCGAGCATCTCTCCGTTTGATGTCGGGTCCAGGAGATACGACGACATCCATCGAGTTTGGGTGACACGGTCGGTGAATGAAATTGCCTTCCCAGGTTCCGAGCGTGCTGGGAGCTCCAGGAAGCCTTCGAGGGCGCGCGTTAAAGCGGCGTTCTGTCATTGGGATGGATGGAACAGGCGGCAGAGCGAGCGCATCCGCTGTTTCGAGGCAGGGTGGAGGGAACAGACTGTTGGGTGTTCTGAGTGGTCTTGACTTGCAGAAAAAAACACACTACACTGTCACTCCCTAGTTCTCAGGAGGTACTTGGGCCCTCCAAGCCTACATAAACAGTCCCCAATCACCTTCTGACAAGGTACTTGGATCCCTACAAACGGTGTACTTAAGTCAACCCACGTCGCGTGAAGTCAACTCACTGCATGGGCACAAGGTTTCAGCGAGAAGTCAACCCACTCGCGTGAAGTCGACTCATTTTGGTCAAAGCACAATGGGCACACTTGAAAAATGAGCACGGCAGGAAAGTGTTCAAGGAAAAGTGTGCGCACACTGTGTTATGGCTGGCATTTGGCCTGGCTTTCTAGATGTTTCAAGCCCAAATCTCAATGGCACAGCACCATTCACACCAATGCACAACTTAGAGAATAGGTTGCACGCGCACACACACACACACATCATGGAAGCCAACGGACCTTCTAAACCGACATGTTTTCAATACACTCCCTGGATCTCCCTGGAATCGACGGAAGCTACGTGGATGGCATGGCCTTGAAATAAAGGATGACCATGACAAACAGGATCAAACAGGTGTTTGTTCCACTTCCGTGATGATTCCAGGGAGTGTAGTCCATATGTTATGCAAGACTCAATGCGAAGTCATGCATATGCATGATGGGTCATCTAGTTGTACATTTAAGTCTCATCATCGTAGATCCCATACCCGTCTATGAATGTATACATATATATATATGTATGTATATAAATTATTAATGTCTACGCTATAATAGCCATTCAGCCATTCTCTATATGTCCGTTTGTGTGATACAGTAGTACGAGACTTGGTGGCTTGAAGGTCATGACCTCGGACTCACGTAACAACCGCTTCGCATGCTTCGCACTCGGCGCCAACATCTCGGCTAAGCTGGGAACAACATGGGAAGCTGAGAATGACAAAACCTCAATAATTAATGTAAATATATGCGTAAATATGCCTGTATACGTATACATGGATGGTCTGAGGTGTTTCATCTGGTTGATCTGTTTCATGCCCGGCCTCGTAAACGTCGGAGAACTGTCTACACGCACGTAGAAGCGACTGTTTGTGTCGGTGCCGACCGACCTGGACCTGTCGGTGGTATGCCTGGATGCACCGTTTAAGGAACACAGGACAAACACCACAAAACAAATTATAAAGCAAAACCTAAAGCCATCTGTACGTGGATTCATCAGCCCATGCAGATTGCGAATCATCTGCCCAGAACAATACTCCAAAACCAGCGGTGTTTCCCTGTTGACCAACACCCGCCTTCTGGCGGAGTACCATACGGCGCCACCGACAAGGACAGTGCTGTGCGGTTCTCCACGAAGAGCACCGAGCCTCTCATCTGAGCTCTTTCTCTTAGACCGTCGAGCCGTATCTCAAGGATTTTGCTGTGCAAAACAATTTATATTCTTCCACTGGAAGACACCTTGAGGATAATAATTGTGCTGTCCACCCATGCTGCCAGGTCCCCAACCTTTTGCATCCCTCGCTCATATGGTTCTGGTACAAATCAACACACATCCGGCTTGAAATATCTTGAAATCAGGTTGTGAAAACCCACCAGAATCTTCAAGAATCTTCCTTTTAGACATGAAACTGGGTCAAGTCACTCAGTAAAACCTCCCCTTCTTTGCACTGCAAAACAATGCCGAGATTGGTGCCACGGCTGCCACCTCGCCCCTGGTCCACCGTTTTAGCCGCAGATTGCCAAGTTGGCCCAAGTCGCTAAAGTGAACGTCCAACTCGTGAAGCTTATCCCCCACCTGCGGTCGACGTGTGCTCCCGAACACGTCTGCTCCCGAACACGGGACGGTCGTGTCGTGTCGTGACGTGTCTCCCCAACACTCCGACACGGCCCAAGGGAGGCGGCATCACCAACAAAAAGGAGGGGACATCATGACAAGTGCAATGCATCATTCTGAGATTATGGAACCATTCCAACACAATGATAACAAAATGCAGGACACCACGTCTTGGACATGTTTTCCCCCGAAAAAATGAACAAGAACCCATTCATTTGACCTTCATGTGCAAAGATCGAGGTCACCACCCAGATCCGATCCATCCCTTCCCCATCAACCAAAAATATCTCCAACCTCAGTTCTCACGAGGATCCAACTCTCCGGAAGCGAAGTGAGCTTGTAGGACAGGTCCAAGTTGCTCCCACCTTGGTCGTCCCAACCGCCGGAACGACCGGTGTTTTCTCTGGCGTGCACCGGCATGAGCCGGCGAAGTGAGTTGGTCGGGCCGTGGGCTTTTCGGAAAGGGTCGAGGTGATGGGTTGGGTCAAAAACCTGGTCCATGGCACCAAACCTGGTCGAGGAGATCAATGCTGAGCACATCGTGTTTGTCTTTCGCCTCAAGGGAGAGGTGCAACTGTCGACGGTGGTTCTCAGGTATCAGAACCGGAGACCAAACAGATCCAAACAGCAACAATGCAGTGATAACCATATTCTCGGTGTAATATCAATATGGCATTAATCGTGTGATTGTCAACCAAATACTCCTCAGCATGCTATATAGGCAAGTGCAAGACTATAGAAACCGAAGACTGCAGCAACTCTAGAAGCTGCCCCACATGGGAAACTTTATCCCAATGTCTTAACCGTTAACCAATCAATACAATCCATGCGACCAGCCCAGGTCTACAAATCCCAATGGATTTCTGAAGATGCATGAAGATTCTCAAGAATTTCTACGATGTCCCTCCGTGGCTGTACCATTCAATACCCCGATTTCGGCAACAAAAACTCACGTTGTGACATCGCCAGCTTCGACGTCGCCGATGGAGTGACGTCGAAGTCGGCCGCTCGGCATCGACCGTTGGATGGGTTTGGACCGCCAGGCTGCTGGTGTCGGCGCTGTAGCACCGCATCTGGCTGCCCAAAAAGCTGGAACTCATGCTCTGAGTACCTGGGAAAGGCAGCGAATCACGCAAGGGTGATGCAGGGTCAACCCTGAGATGTGCAGTTTCCAGTGATATGATGTGTTGTTTTACTATGTGTATCATATCTTTTTTCCGCGTGGTAGCCTGTGGTAGCATATAAAACACTTCCCCTCTTGCAAGGCTTGGGTCCTGGGTGCCCGTTTATGCGGGCAACTCTTGTGGGCGACCGTTTGGCATACATCATTCACCTGTGGCGAGCGACCGTTTGGTCCCAAAGAATCCGCCGAAACTGACTCGCGAGGAGATCCAAACACTTCATGTACGAATTATTGAAATATGGAATATCTAAGAAGCAGTTGGGGTGGTTGACCCGGGGTCAGGAAGCTATGCTCAAGTTGTCTGGTTCGTGTGGTGGTCGGTTCGCCGAGTTTACCGAACACACTGGTTGGATTTGAGTAGGGTGTCCCCAATCCCCCCAAAATAGATTTTATACCAGGACCCTCCGACAGGTCACCAATTGAGACCTGTTAGGGTCCAACAACCCTCAACTAACAGCCTGTTGGAGGGTGCTGGTATAAACTACGTGATCAACTTGTCCTGGGCAGGGAGGGGAGAATGTTTATGAAAGAGTTCAAGGACTGGAGTTCGGAGTGCCAGATCATCTTGGTCACCAACACCCCTAACCCCACACTCCTACTATCCACTTGTATTGGAGCTGCTTGACTGCTTCCTTTTGCATAATAAATCATAATAACGATTGTGACTGCTATCCATTGCCATCATGATACAATATCATTTGCTCGTGTCATATCATTCCTACAGTCCCAGTCGGCAAAATGTTCAAAAATACCTTTGTGATCCTTTGTGTGCATCATCATCACTATCATCATCATCATCATCATCATCATCATCATCATCATCATCATCAT